TGGATTATTTTGCTGTTAATAAGTGGTGATTTTCCGTGTGTAAATGCAGATGGGGAAACCATGGTTATGAAACATATGCCAACTCGGATTCACGACAAACCATACGAAACATGATATTCCTTTGGTAATTTCACACTTTGTTATGGAAACCATGTCTCATTGAGTTTAACGATAGATCCCTCTGAAAAATGTTGATTTGTCTTGCTAAACTATTCAAAATTGTCAGATTATCTTCCTCTTGGACAATTGTGTTTCAATAGTTTGATATGGGTTTGTCTGAACGTGGGGTACCCCAAATATATCCAAATATCTTGGGCTCGGTTTGTTCAAGACTTGGCCATGTTACAATGTTTCTGTGGACTAAGCCATATCCAATATATTCATGGATCACATCCAAAAAAAATTGGATCGTTGAATCCGCAAAAAAATGCCTGGTTTTAGTCCATGTTCTTGATGATCCAATCCCCATTTTTTTGGATGGCTGAAAAAACACCATTTTTACATGACTGGGACAAGTAGGAGAAATTGTGAATGCTTGTTGTATACCCTGTTAGTCCCCAACAAAATGAAGTTTAACATCCCATTGCAAAAGGGGTTGATCCCCATCCCCAGTTCAGCCCTTCAACCCCCCCCTTTTCATCCCTTTCCCCCCGGTGGGGACGAAAACGCATGGGAACATGGCTGGGGAGTGTGTTCAGTGTGTTCTGTTGATGGGGAGATTCGACATGATTCCGCATGATTTTCCCATCGATCCAGAAAAGATGCCGAACAGATCCGAACAGTAGGGTAGTTCGATGATGTTTAATCCCTACCCCCGTTCATATTAAACACCCCCTGGCCACGAAACCATGGTTTAGTAGGGAATTTCCACATTTTTTTGGAACCATTTATTATAGGGTGTTTAATTTTTATTATAGGGTGATGGGATTACTTCATATTTCCAGGATTTTCCAGACCCCCATGGCTTTTCGGCATCGAGAAAGATCCGAGGTTTTTCTTCCCGGCCCAGCGTGGCGTAGCGTGATGTGCGCTCGGCAAGGTCCGGGTCGCTGCGTGGCGCCACGACGTCTCACTGTCGGTGATTCAGACCCAGCAAGATACCAAAGATGTGTATATAGGGTTTATCCCACTTATAGGGTTTATCCCACTTATTCACCACCACAAGGATGGTTGAAACCCTATAATGGGATTGGGATAGCCTCCAGTAAATTAACATAGACCCTGGCAAAAATGGGGTTGAAAGACTATAGTTTCCACTAAAAAAAATGTGTTTTCACGGTCTATGTCAATTTACCAGAGGGTAGATGTTACTAAATCAATTCCTAACTTACATAATATGTAACAAGCAAATACAAACAAATACAATCACCTATGCATAATATGTATACATTTGCATACGCCTGCGTTAATATTGCCCGAATCTCAAGGTGTACGTTTCCCCTCTATTCAACGGTCTTGGCGCAGTGATTGGCGATTAAGAACTGGGACCTATCGAGGAAGAAGTCGGATATCATTCAAGTGAAATGGAATATACGATTAACAACGTGGTAAACAGCGGTAAACCCAATAATATATCATCCCCAAGTCATCACCATGTTTTTTTTTGTTTAGCGTCCCCAAATGAACAAATGGTTGGTTTATTGAGTTTCCCACATTATGGACACATTAGTTTCAAAACCCTGGGGCTGAAGACGGTAGTGCGAGGTGGAGACCTACTGTTCCTACTGGTCGACAATTTTCACATGGGGGTTATGGAGAATGGGACTATGATGATGGATGTGAGTTATGTTCAGGATGAGGCTTTTCATTATATATAATAGATATGTTTTGTTTTTTAAAACCAAAAATGGGTTGAAGGGAGCATGTGCAAGATGCTTAGTGGGGCATGATTTGGGGATGATCTGGAATTCATAGGCAACGAGTCATTGACGCGTCCGCGTACTACTGGTATAGCAATCCTCATTCCGTGGTTCCATAATTCGTAGGAATGACTATTTCAATCATTACAACGACCCCACATCCGAGGTTTTTCACTAATGCTTTGAAGGGGGAATCATCCAAAACAATGGCTTACTTTCAGATTGGAATTTGTCCAGAATGATACATCTAGTGCTTCAAAAGTTTGTGCGCCATTCTACAAGTTCGCTGAATCTTGATTTAGAAACTTAATCTAACAACAAAATTTGCGTAGGTACCTCATTTGTGCAGCTTATGGTGACCTCACACAACTTCATCATAAATTCTCGTAAACTATGTTGAAATGGGGAAGCACCGAAACATGGCTTGTGTATGCTTGTGTTGGGTTTGTGAATTATAGTGATTTGATGTGATTTGCCCAGCATCATGTGTGCTTCTCACAGCTGCACTACCCTCGGCCCCCTGGCCGCTCTGTTTACGTCCATGCGGGTGTGGCTAGCGCAAGAGCTTGAAATTCAAGCTTTTTGCGCGTTTGAAGGGTCAGCCAAACAAACTGATTTTGAGTCACGCTGCATGATTTTAGTTCATCACGGGCAAGTGCTAGTGAATGGCCGAAAACTCACGACAGTACAATAAGAAGTCAGAGTTTTTGAGGAGTCACATAGCGTCAAAGCGGTTGACCCCAAGGTGTCATTTGGTTTCTCTTTCGCGTTTCAGAGCGCTTGAGAGCTCGTGGACAAGCTCTTCCACTGCGGATGATTCTTGCAAAGTCAACCACTTGAGATCACAGCAGAGTACTTTGATGTTTGGGGTTGGGGATACACGCTGAAGCCAGATGAACATTTTTGTGTCCAAGATTAGCTATGATTTGTGAAGAGACTGTAGCTATCACAGCAGAAACATGCTGAAACTTCGATCGAAACTAGTGCTTAGTTAGAAATTTGCTGTAGCATATGGATCTCCCAATGACTATCCTAGTGGGCGTCCACGACACCAGACAGCTCGCCAGCTCAAAAGTGGGCCACCGTTCGGCGGGGCCCAGGGGGACAGGATGAATATCCCCTCCCAAAGAAAAGGGCTGGGAGAAGCGGCTTCGAACATTTGCTTTGTGACTGAAATCTGTTCTTGCTTCATCTTCTGGTTGGTGGTTTGGATCCTGGCTTTTTTGAATTTCCATTATTAGTGGGAATGTCATCATCCCAACTGACGAACTCATATTTTTCAGAGGAGTAGGTATACCACCAACCAGATCTTGGTTCGAAAATCTTTGTTTGACATGTTAAAAATGTTTGAAACATTAACATATGAATATCACATCCTCGCCATCGAGAAACTGAAGCCTACCTAGACCCTGAACTTTCCCACAAAAAGAAAACGTGAGTGGACGACCAAAAATAGCCCAGCATTTGGATGGATTCAATGGCCAATTTTGGATAATTCTAGGGTTGATTATTTTTATAAACCCGCCATTTTTTTGCGGCTCTTGTTCCAATGTTTCTCACAGAATTGGATGGATCCAGGTCCCGTTTCAGTGGATCATTCTGGATTTTGAATCTGCCCTATTTTGAACTTGAATACCCTCTGGTAAACTAACATAGCTATTGAAAATGGCCATTTATACTGGAATTACCCATTGAAAATGGTGATTTTCCATAGCTATGTTAAATTACCAGAGGGTAATAGAAATACCCCAAGATATCCCCAACGCTCCGTGGTGTTGGAATATTGACCCTCTGGTAAACGTTTACAAAAAACTATGGAAAATCACCATGCTATTCATGGGAAAACTCTCTATAAATGACAAATTACCTGAGGGTATCAATATGTTCCCAAAAAAACGACCCTGCAGTTCCTGGGCTCAAGGAAAGCCGGCCACAAAAAGCCCAGGTCGGTTGCATGTGCAAGAGTTGTTTGATGTCTGGATGCGAGTATTAAATAAATATATATAAATATAATATAATATGTTATGAATTGTTATGATTATGACACATTATGATTATGATTATATGAAATTAGATTAGTATGTATCCACATGTATTTAGATATCTAATTATATATATATACATACATACATACATGTGAAAAGTATATACATATATTATACAGTGTACATGCAGTACTTTCTTTGTTGACTGATAAACATGTGTACGTGTTAGTCCATGTGTCTGTCTCCTTATACTCTGTGAATCATAAGTATTCATCCCTCGCCCAACATACCCACAGAAGGTCTACTCGGCTGGGACAATATGAAAACATGCCTGAATCCGTACAATCTATAAATTCAAAATGTGTGTCTTATCAATATTCCCAAATCTATGCATCGCAAACATGCGTAATACAAAGTGGTGCCCCAAAAAAAAATTATAAGATATTGTAATTATAAGTTGGTTTCTAAATTCCATTGATATCTATACAGTATACCCTCTGGTAATTTAACGTAGCTATTGAAAATCACCATGCTATTAATGGGAAAACTCACTATTTCAATGGCCATTTTCAATAACAAACCGTTAGTCATTACCAGAGGGTACATACCATTACCTACCAAAATCCCTACGCTTCAATACTCAAACATGGCTGGACCATCTCCCATTTGTCGATGATTTTCCCAGCGATCAAAACGCCTTCATTTTCTTCGGGGATTTACCAGACGGCCACGGATAGGACTACCGGATAGTACTGTCTAATATCCATTCATATTCCGTGATTATCAAATATATATATATGATTAGTCCCATGAAGTCCCTCTTATTGTTCCTATTGTGGGCGGTTACATTCCATTATTATTATAAGCTTATCTCCTTACTGGTATGTACACAGTATTCCATGAATGTTCCATTAATAGTATTCTATTCCATTAATGTTCCACTCATATCCCATTATAATCCCATTATAATCCCATTAGAATCCCATTATAATCCCATTATAATCCCATTATAATCCCATTATAATCCGATTTTAATCCCATTAAAATCCCATTATATTCCATAAATATTCCATAAATATTGCAGGATTATAGTACCCCTAAAGCACCATATGTTTCCCAGTCTGCTGGTGAAAACTCCGTGCAGGTCGTCGATCTCATGGCGCTGCGATCTGCACTGAGACGCTTCAGCTCCAAACCTGTCCGGGGGCACTGTCTGGATTGAAGTTTTATGGGTTTGTTAATGGGCTTTTAATGAGGTTTTCATTGATGTGTTTTAAGTTTTTTTAAAGAGTTTTTTAATGGATTTGAACAAACTGGTTTTAATGTGGTTTCAATGGTTTTTTTTTTAATGGGTATAAGGCATCTATAGGTATAAAATCTAGCTTGAATATAGATTTCCAGTTTACCGGGTTTTAATGAGCTTTTAATCTAGCTGGGGTTTCTAGCTGGGGTTATACCTGGATGTTCAGGCTGTCTACCCTCTGGAAAATCTGTGTGGTTCGCTTTTGGGGTTCTGCTGGAAGACACCGGAGGGAAGATTGAACGGTCAGGTTCAAGGGAACGATAGAGACCCACTGGTTGGTTTAAGGGAAATGTTCGACACAATTTACGAGATATATCCGGTGTATGGAGGAAATTCAGTGATATAGTGTTTAAACCAGGGCATGGATTTCTTTGATGTTTTTCTTAAGAAAGCAAACGTATGGAATGGCTACAACAATGGTTCCAAACCAATTCTGTATGGTAGATTCCTGGCAGATCCCATCAATTCATCCCATGAACAACCACAATTTTTCGAATTACCCTCTGGTAAACTAGCACAACTATGGGTAAATCAACTATAAATGGCCATTTTCAATAGCTATGTGACAAATTGCCAGAGGGTACCTCCACGTTTCCAATCGTTTCCATGTTCCGTTCCTCGTTAAATTTTCGGAGGTGCCTTTGGGGCTCCCGAGTCCCGTCTCCATCCGCGAATCGGCGGGGAAGTTCTTCAACGAGGCCGCGCTGAAGGGTGGGTTCCAAAGTAGGGCGGGGCCCCAGGCATCCATTTATAGATCTGGGTAAATTATAAAATCCCCCATCATGGTTAGGATCCGGGAAATCATCCCCAAATGGCCTTATTTATCCTTATTTCAGGTTTGTGACGGTTAGTGAAATATTATTTTATTTACCCAGATAGATGGATTTTCCCATGGAAATATATAAACATCCAGAAACCATCCAGCGAGCTTGGGGTAGCAACATGTTTTCGGACACTATGAGTCAAAGCAAGTTTACTCTATGAAACAATAGCATCATAGAATGTAGATGCATATAGCGAATTAGCCATTAAATATTCGAGTTCATCGCTGAATATGGAAGTATCATGAAATATCATTCATGACAGTTGATTGATGGTTGATTAGCTACTATGTAGGGTGTGTATTAACCTACGTTGATTGGGGATTGCGGGATTGCTAAGTTGGGTTGGTCAACCGCTGGGAGCTATGAAGATCATCCCCACTGTCAGATGTTCCATGTATTTACCAGCCTTGACCGCACCCCGAAAGTGAACCAAATGTCCAATATCCATCAATATCCCACGAAGTCTTTTGGTATGTGCCATAAGCAACCGCTCAACCGCTGCGCGGCCAGCGACGCTTTTGGCTCAATTCAAAACGGCTTTTGGCGCCTTTACTTCTTCGACTGACTCATCTCAGGCGATGTGTAGTGGATCGTTGTTTTTGCATGTTGGAGGTGATCCACAGAACGATGCGCGTTTTGACTTGTTGAGATCAAGGTCTAGCATGAAGTAGAAAAAAACACGTTGTCAACGTAACACGCACAATTGTCATTGACCGTTCCAGGCTGCAACTTGCATACCCTCAGAAAAACAAAGTGAAAAACATGGCAGCAAAACATGGTGGAAGGATTTACAGTAATGTGGGTAAATCACCATAAATAGATGGTATAATACCACAATTCCCCAATGGGTGGTTCATGGCATTGTTTTACCAACATGAAATTGGGGCCCCCAAACTTCGGCGAACGACGTTTCGAAACCGCCGAAACCTGGCAGGATGAAGTTCTTCAAAGCCATTGCGGTTGGTTTCTCTGGCCTCAGACGCTGATCTCAACGTTAATAACGTTTTGACGTCCAGATTAGGGGTCATTTAATGTCATTTATAGTTGATTTGCCCAGTAAAAATGGTGATTTTCCATAGTTTTGTAAACGTTTACCAGAGGGCATGAGGTTGTTGATATTCTCAATGTTAGGTATTTTAGGTATAGTAATGTTAGGTAAGTTTTCATAATATGTGTTCATCATTTGTCATCCCATTTCATCGGCTGATAGTGGTTTGAAAACTATTTTTTCAGATGTGTTCCCGTCCACATCGGCATTTTTGGAGATTGGCGCCGACATGTTTAAAAGCCCTTCAATTCCCACCTGTGTTGCTTTAAAACATTTTAAAACATCATTTTCCCACGTTTCTTGTACCACAAACTCCCCTTTTCGCCCAGGCCTTGCTGCAGCGGATGACGCCTGCCACAACGCCCACACGGCGAGAAGGGGTTGGCGGATGTTGACCTGGAAAAAGCCCATGGGTTTTAGCCATCAACAAATGGGGTTTCCATGGGAGTACCCCAATAGCTGGATGGTTTATTTCATGGACAAAACCTAATCTAAAAATGAATGATTTTTGGGTTCCTGCAGCCATCAGGAAACCAGCAAATGGTGATCCCACACTCGGAAGATGATGACAGAAGAGGGGGGTTACTTGTATTAGATGTTTTTTTGTTTTGTTTTTTATTTTTAAACCACCGTTTTTACAACCGATGATATAGATTTAGAATGATAATCATTAGCAAATGGTGTTTGGTGTTTGGCTTTAGCCATCCACACTTGCAAGAAGGATCAGATGGGGATTAGATGGGTATTAGATAGGCTGGCTGGTGGTTTCATTTTTTTTATTTTCGATAATATATGGGATAATCCTTCCCATTGACTCATATTTTCAAGATGATTATTGCACCACCAACCAGTAGGGGTTTTAACCATGTTTTAAGCACCAACACTGGATGAAACCATCATTATCCCCGTCTTTTAGGGATGAATAAGTGGATCTCTCAGAATCATATTTGGGTGCGGGTAAAAATACAAAGCATGGATCAAGGTCCCGGGCCCACACACGATCCATACTCGATGATCCATACCCCACTTATCGTCCTGTGATTTGCAGCCATTTGGGCTGGTGGGTGCAGCATAGCTTTGAAATCTTTGAATTTCAGCAGGCAGTGTTTGACCATATACACCCCATCAAATGCAAGGGTGCAACGAAGAAAACGAGAAGAATCACATGACAAAATGCTAAGTGCGCATCCACATGCAAATCCACTCACTTTCACTTCGATCCACGTGTATCTTTGCGATTGGGGGCAAAAAAAAATTGCCAGAGTGCCATCACCAGGCTGAGCCAGTCTGATCTCTTATCAGCTTGTGAAGACTGGGGCATCCAGACGCCCAAAGGAGCCCTAGATCTCGAGCTGCGTGCCCTCCTTGCTCGTGCCATTGTGGGCGGCACACCAGTGATCCCTACAGATGACAAAATCAAACCACCAGTTCAAGATGGCAAAGCCGCAGATCCCGGCGCAGTGGAGCAGAATCCCTTTGAAGAGTTCGAGCGACCGCGAGGCAGGAACTAGCAGCAGGAAAGAAGATGCAGCAATCAGGGGGTGTGCCGCAGCAAGTAGGAGCCAAGACCTGCATTCCGCGATGCAGGAGATACCGCAGAGAAACGCTGTGTCCGATGGCTTCTTAAAATTTTTGCCGCCGGCACGCGATAGCACAACTTGTCAATGCTCGCTCCTAGTTACAGTGTTTGAATATTGAATCAGGACGCTTGGAAGAAACCCTGGACGCTTGTGCGTGTCATCTGTTTTACTTCCCCAATGACAATTTGACCGCTGTTAATAAGGGTCATGAACCATGCAGGATGTGTTGCTATGGATGCCTTCAAGAGGGTACGGATCAATGACCTTACGACAGCTGTGCGATCCATACCCCGGATCACCGCGGAACGATCCATACCAGAATTTATGCTCACAGCCATTTGTTACAGGTACATGGGTATATACCTATTTGGTAACTTATAGATATATACCAATATAAAATATTTATTGATATTTTGGTAACTTTAGATATTTTTAATATTATATATATATATAAGTTTAAATCCAATCAACCAGCGCGTTTAGTGGAAAAATGCCCAACAATAAACCCAGCTTATCAATTATTATTATATACCTGGACATCCAAAAGCTGCATGTTTTTTGGTCTGGACTGAAAAGTAGTGAGCGGCCAAAAATCGGACAATTGCTGATTTTGCCCTCTGTCAGTCACATTTGGAAGGACCAAAAATATGACGCAAAATGACGCAGAAAAGACGCAAAAGACCAACTTTTTGACACCAAAACCGTGTCATTGAATCCATCACTCTTAGCCCAAAAGTGATTTTTAGGCCCGCACCCGAAAATCCACAAAGGTCGAAAATTATGCGGCTCAAGGACTGTCCAGGTATGTATATATATATATATCCCCAATATCTCACCATACAATGGAAATAACCATCAATTATGTTTTCCCCAACAACAATAACCCCCGACATCTCACTATAAAATCGGAATACACATAAATTATATTAAATTATGATATCCAAAATCTCACTTTAAAGTGGAGATAATATGACATAACGATCAAACATATATACCTAGCGCATCAAGAACCCACAAATTTGCAGTTGTTTTTCCAAAAAAACGTTTTTTTTCTTCAGTTATGATATCCCCAATGATTGTTCCAAGCTCTCATCAACTGGCGGATGTAGTCTGGCAGCCAGGCGAAATCTGACTGCGTGGCCGACTCCAAGTGCTCCTGGTGCGAGGTCTGGTGGACTCGAAACAGTCGGCGATGGAAGTTTGTTGTAGCCTATTTTCAGACCCAAATCATGTGTAAATATTGATAAATATTGATGAACATACATATTTATTGAACATGAATATTGATAAAATATATACATATTGAAAAATAGATATTGAACATACACTTGGAACAGTTGCAAACATGTATGAATTGTCAATGGTACTATGTTTCAAACACGTCGGGTTTTGTGTCTATTTTTCACGGGAGATATCCCACTGAGGTTGGTGTCATAGTGCTTGACAGCGCGTAGATTCATAGCAGTGGTACTTGTATATGAATGATATGGCTTGATGCCATAAACAATTGATTGTTTTGAAAAACAATGATAAAAACCATGATAAAACACCATACAACCATGAGATGATAAAACACCATACGCCAGATGACAAGACCATGATAATACACCAATCATGGTAGAATCATGACAGCTGATAAAACACCATACAACCAGAGTTTCTCATACCTTCCACCGACAGGCTTCGGCTGTGCCCAGCGCGTGTTACACCAAGGAGGATGCAACTGGGGCGGCAAAAGGGGGGGGCCCGTAAGAATTCAACAACTGTTCAACAAGCCACCAACAAAATCAGCAGCGATCTAACATCCGTTGAATAGCCATACAATTAAACACAGAAATTCAACAACAAACCAGAAAAATAAGGGAAAAAAAGTCAGCCCAAGGTTTTCCATCTTTGCAACCCCCAAGGATATGGGGGTGAAGCCACCTACCAAGGCCGCCAAGCTTCCCTCCGCGGTCTTCACCTGTGGCACCTCCAAACGTCGCTCCGAGCTGCTACCGCGCGAGGAGGTGCCGAGGGAAACGAACCCATGGGGAAACCATGGAGCCATGGGGGCGGATGGCTGGTTCCTATGGGATGGCTGAAAGCCAATGAGAAAATGGGTGGCTGTTGGTCATTTTGGTCATTTTGGTCATTTTCCCATGTTTGACTGGAAAAAATCATGGTTTCAACGCCATGATGGCGAAATGGTGATGATCATATAATCTCTGGGTCAATTTAGACCATAGGATGGGAACAAATTGGAGGTTTCTGGGACAAAAAAACATCAAAGTATGGCTGGTGGACAATTTTAATAAAGTTAGCCTGGCCTTGTTGGATTACTAGATCAGTCAAGTGGATGGGTAGAAACTACTCCTTTAGTCTTTTGGTATCTGGCTGGGATTATCTACTTACTCACCAGCGATCGGCCGTGTTGATGGGGATGATCCGGCTAGCCATGTTTGATGACACCGGAGGGTATCTATCTCGTTTTCTTCATGTTGAGTCTTACTGGTGCGTTTTACGTAGGGAATGGATGGGAATAGGGGAATGGGATGATTATTGATAGTGATGAAATGGATCATTCCCAAAAATTCCCTACTAAGCACCAGTAAGGATAGTGATTTTGGGATTGAAACTGTGAAAGTTTGAATGGTCGAGATTGAGCCAACGGCAGATTTGGATCCCGCTGTTGAGAAGGCATCTGGGGTCAGCCAGAGTAGGCTGACAAAGCTAACTTTCTTGCAGGATCAGTGGAAGAGCCCCCCAAGGATCATGAGCAGATGGAAGAGTGCAGTCCAGCAAGGGATATTGACACAGCTATGATTCGCATTAAGCATTGACAATGGATTAGCCAACTAAATTGCATGCTTTAGGGAGAAAATCTGATGTACAGAACTTAACGAAACCGGATAGGTATTTCTCCAATACACAACCTCAAAGGCTGGGAACTTAGATCCACATATCAATATAGAAATATCATGTCATATGTAATCCATGATTATAATCCATATTATAATCCATGATTATAAACCATATTATAATCCATGATTATAATCCATAATTATAATCCATAATTATAAACCATATTATATATGTAATCCATATGTCTGATGTTTTTTTTGTTTCGCCATGTTTGGGATCTTTCCCTTCCGAAAACAAGCTCTCGCTGCGGTGAGGCCGAGAAGTTGGGCGTGGTCTGGCGCGGCAATTCTTCCAAGCAGAGCTGCTCGGCGCCACGAAGCCTTGGAATGATGGTGAATGTACGGGGGATCCCCCAGTAGCTGGATGGTTTAGATGGGAAAAGCCGAAAAGCCGATTATAAATGTGAATCTATAACATTGGGTTTTCCATAAATGGGGGATACCCCAATAGCTGGATGGTTTATAATGGACAACCCTATTAATATCTATAAAAAAAATAAATGGATGTTTTTTTTGGGGGGTAGCCCTATTTTCGGAAACCCCCAGGGGAATCATCCCAAGTCACATCCCAAGCCAATGTGAGGCTGCAAGTTTCAGGCTGAAATATGACGATTTATGGCTAAATTGATCCAGATCGTGTTAAATTTATAGGTACATATCATGGTATATGATAATTCATTGATGCAATTGATCCTATCATCCATACATGATATGTTAAATCACTAGATATGTGAAACAAGGTTCAAGTATTCATTCATTCAACTCTGATCAAGACATAGCTCCATTGAATCAATGTTGATAATAAAAAATGAACACTCGAGATAACTTTGGATTTAATATGATTTAATGTGTGGTTCAAAATGGGATTAAAATATAAATTGGGATTTTTAACATAGCTCAACACTGTAACACTGTACACAACAATCATGGCTTTCAATCGGGATTTTTTAACACCCCAAAAAATGGTGAACAATGGTGATTTCAGATGATTTAGCTAACTATGAACCATGAAGATAGAGCCATGAACAAAAACACATGTTGATGGGATTTAACCTTCAACATGTTTTAACCAACTAATTTATGGGATTTGATTTAACCATGAAAGACAAATCAAAGATATGATCGGAATCAAATTCAATCACATTATTCAACGAAAATCATATGTTTAACAATCAATATCCCATATAAATTGGTTGGAATATGATATGCTATTGCTTTGCTAAGTTAAACCCCCATAAATTGGAATTTTCCAAAATCTGACTGGACACCCCCATCCTCCCCCGCCTTCGAGGCTCACACGAACTCTTGGAGTCCGTGTCGATGCCATCGGATTTCACCTGGTGCAACAAGGATGGCAAGTGCGGAGACCCGGGGTCGGGGATGGTTTAGCACGCCACAATGGCCATAGAAACAAATTGAACTTAGCGTTTTTTTTTTATAGATGTTTATAGCAACCCTATGTATATATATATATATGTCAATACTGTATGTGTTATGACATAATGATGTGTATATATATATATATGTATAGTGATTTGGGGGGATGGTTTCTGAATTTGGGTTCACAACATTACATTGGTTTGGGTGGATTTTATAGTCAGATTAGAAATACAACCCCTAACAAACCACGAAAGACAATATCAAGTACCCTCTAGTTATTTAACATAGCCATGGAAAATGGCCCATTTATAGATGGTTTACCTATAAAAAATTACTTTACTTCGTGTGATCCCCACCATGACATTTATACATTTTCTTACTGGCAAATCTTCTGGCATTCTATCTGACATATCTTCTGACATTCTATTTGACATTCTATCTGGCATATCTTCTGGCATATGATCTGGCATATCTTCTGGCATATCTTCTGGCATTCTATCTGGCAAATCTTCTGGCATTCTATCTGGCATATCTTCTGGCACTCTATCTGACATATCTTCTGGCATTCTATCTGGCATATCTTCTGGCATATATTCTGACATATCTTCTGGCATTCTATCTGGCATATATCTTCTGGCATATATTCTGACATTCTCTGGCATCTGGCATATCTTCTGGCATATCTTCTGGCATATCTTCTGGCATATCTATCTGGCATATCTTCTGGCATATTTTCTGGCATTCTATCTGGCAAATCTTCTGGCATTCTGGCATTCTGGCATATCTTCTGGCATATATTCTGACATATCTTCTGGCATATCTGGCATTCTGACATTCTTTCTGACATTCTTTCTAACTTTCTTCTGCACATTCTTTGTCCCATATCTTCCTACATGAGGTCCGGCAGGGAACACTTGGCGTGGATACTCGCGGTTGAGGTCCGGCAGGGAACACTGGGCGCGGATGGTCGCGGTTGAGGTCCGGCAGGGAACACTGGGCGCGGATGGGCGCGGTTGAGGTCCGGCAGGGAACACTGGGCGCGGATGGTCGTGGTTGAGGTCCGGCAGGGAACACTGGGCGCGGATGGTCGTGGTTGAGGTCCGGCAGGGAACACTGGGCATGGATGGTCGTGGCTGAGGTCCGGCAGGGAACACTGTGGATCGCGGGTCGCAGTTGAGCAAGGACGACAAGGATGACAAGGAGGACGAGGAGGAGGAGGACGAGGCAGGAGGAGGCGGAGGAGGAGGAGGACGAGGAGGCAACTGACATAAAATCTAACAACCCTCACCTGGCAGGTGGGGAAAAATGCTGCTTTTCCATGGCTATGTTAAACAACCAGATGGTAAACTCATGATTTTTTTTGGGGTTTGATGGTGAGGGCAACTGGATAGGAATGCCTCGTGGTTCACCTCGGAAGCCCCACGGGTGGTGGGCACTGAGGAGCTACTGCACTATGTCTCGCAACCAGCACATCCCCCAGGAGTCGGGGGGTGACTCCGGGAAGAAACAGAATCCACTGGTTGGATCTCTGATGTTGGGAAAGAAACTTGGTTTATCTTAGATTTATCTTGGTTTATCACATCTGGATATGTTCCCCAACATGGCAACATCTTGCTGTTCCCATCATGGCGCAGTTTAGCATGGCAACCCCAATTGTTGTTGATTCAATCCCCGTTTTCGGCGGTTAACTTCCAATTCACCCACGTTTTTTTGGGGGAGGCTCTTGTATAACTGATATCATGCGATATCATGCGATATCCAATTAGTCCTCTATTGAGGGATGTTAATTCCCTCAGATAAAGAGAAAACACACGCAATAGCACTGATATCTCTAGCATGAAGCTAAACTAACATAAACTAACTATATATTAATTTCCAGAGTGATCTACTAACCACTGGAATAACATGGAATAACTATAGATATTGTTTTCTTACACGATCAGGGGAAACTCATTATTTCACACCAATATCCACTGATGTAGCTATTAACCCCTCTCTGGAAATCACATCCAAATTAGTACTACATCCACATCACAACAACATCTGAAGTATACCCAACTTAGTACTAACATGTATTACGATTATCGTCATTAGTTGTACCACATTAATAATATCCCATAATTATATCCCATTAGTTACCCTCTGGTAAACGAACATAACTATGGAAAATCACCATTTTCAATGGGAAAATCCACTACAAATGGCCATTTTCAATAGCTATGTGACAAATTACCAGAGGGTAGACCAAATGAATAGTATCCAATATCCCATGAGTTGGACATTAAATGAGTTCCATATCCATCTCCAAATGACGGGCCCAAAACCACCGGGGACATCCGCCGTCGCCCGACGTCGCCGGGACAGTACTGCGGCAGCTGCTGGGCCCATGGCGCCATCTCGGCGCTTGGCGATCGCATTAAGATCGCGCGCAAGGCGCAGGGCGTGGACATCAACCTGGCGGTAGCTCGGATAGAGTGAAGCCATTGGCGGTATGCGTACCCAAAGGAGGGATAGATATCATGGGATTATGTATAATATTACATAATTTTATATTACATTCATATAACTGATTTGAATTACTTTATAAATATATATATATATATCTCTCTATCTATATAATATATATATATACTGCGTTCTGAACAAGCCCAGCCTCCAATAGTGATTTATCACTATTTGGACCGCGATAAATCCAGGTGTGACCACCAAGTATCAAAACATGGGGTAGCAGCGTAGCATGAATCCATGCTTATCGGTAATTTGAAGCTCAACATATATAGGTCAAAGTACTGATGTTCCTCTGGTTGGAAATCTTATATTTTAATTGTTTCTTGGTTAATCCATCATTTCAGGGATGATGCCCAATGGCGAACATTTGTTTGAGATGGATTGAAAGCACCGACCTTTTTTATCATTGATCCAATGGATTACTTTTGGTGAATGTTCCTGAAGGTTTGTTGGTCCTGCATTCTTGTATTCTGTTGAATTTTATCCCTTGATCATCCCTTTTGAATTTCTTAGTGACTATATATACCCAAACAGTCGTATTTGTGGGGGAACCTGAAACAACCATCCGATGCTTATATCTTATCAATTCTTATCACTCCCATGCAACTATCAGAATAAACAGTATCAAATATGTATAGGGTTGTGTTTACACTATTTTCGACGTATTATTTTGTAATATGTTGTACATGATTACAGGTTATTGATAAAATGTTTGACACTGACTAGAACATACTTGATTTGTTTTCAACAACTACAGTCATTATCATCCCCCAAGCAAAAAAAATATAGGGTCGAACTATGTCGAACTGTTAGTTTTTTTTTTTTTTTTCGGGATGGTAGATCCATTGAAGAACCATTATTATTATTACCCCATCATGGTTATGATTATCCCATAAAATCTCCTGATATGCCATTTAAATTCAATGCTTGATGGTTAATTGCGATGGCCCCAAGTGAAATCTATCAGCTATAATCAGCCAAACTATGTTTTGGTTGTTTGTCAAGTCCATATTTAATTAGCATGTTCCCAATTTGGAAATGCAGTTCCAGATATACGTGGAGTTATAACCGTTATAACATGTTATAACCATACGTAGTTCTAGGGGTTATGTCAAATTATATCCCAACTGTTGGGGCTTTGTAACCATGGTATATCCATTTGTAGTCCCAAGTAGTTTTCTTTAGTAGTATATAAGTAGTGAAGCCCATATGTTCATCCTGATAATTACTTGGGCTAATTATTATAATAAACATATGGTGAATAATAGTTATTACTTATAACTTATATATTATATTGCAACTTATATTAGAATAATAATCAACTGATAATTAAGAACAATTCTTAGTCTAAAATAACGAGTTGATGATTCACATCATCCCAATGATCCCATTGAAATTCCATGAATATCCCATGATTTATGAGTTGATTGCTTCATAAATCCCATACCCTCTGGTAAACTAACATAACTATGGAAAATCACCTTTTTTAATGGGAAAACTCACTATTTCAATGGCCATTTTCAATAGCTATTTTGACATAACCAGAGGGTAAAGTCCCATATTTTGGTCCAGAGAACTCGTTGTATCCGGACGTGGTGGTTTCCCCAGGTGCAGCACCTGCTGAACTGCGGAGGGGTTGGCAGCTGCAAGGGCGGCACTGTGGATGGCCCCTACCAGCGCCTTGGTTTCGCCTTGGAAGCCTTGGTTTGGCCCTACGAAGCGCAGGATTTTTCAAGGGAACCATCCTACAATGTGGGGCCCCCCAGCTATGTTTAAAGCCTATAAAAAAACATATAAAAACTATAGTTATAGGTACCATAAACCAGAGTCATTGAAGTTATAAGTCAACTTAGCTATCTAGGGGGCCCCACATTGTAGGAAAATTAGGATTTAACTAGGGAAAATTAGGATTGAACTAGAATTTCAATGGGATTTAATGGGAAAACTGAGAACCATTTTGTATTCAACTAGTTAACTAACTCTGTAACTACTGGCATAAGTCACATTGTTTAAAAACATGTTCAACTAATGCCATGTTGTACTTGACAACAGGATACCTTGAGTCGATGTTGGCTCATCCTCTCAATGGGAAATCCACTATTTTTCCCATGGTCTGTTGTCTGGGGGTCCTTTGAAATACCGTACCCTCCAGAAGATGCCGATGCCAATATTTCCAGGATGATCTAGATGATGTGGGGCCCCCAGTGATGTTTGTTGGTTTATAAACCCCATGAAAACTTCAGTTATAAGTTCCCTAAGTTCCCTAAATTCCCAAAACCATAGTTATTGAAGTTGTGTTCACCAACCTAGCGATGCTGTCTTCGGTTTTCCCGGTTTTCCCCGCGAAATTTCCAGTTTTCCAACGGCATCTGGATGGTTTCTCGCGATCCCACAGGACCAGTATAATCCAGTGGACGAGAGTCGTCCGACGTTTCGTTGGAGGACTCCTCTCGACTACTGGTGATCATTACAATATATATGCACCAGGCCCTGCCACCCCCCCCTCCCCCCAGCCCCCATGGGATGGGTCCCATATACTGGCCCCATATGAGATCTTCCCCCTCCCCCCCTGTGGTGTGGTGGCGGTGTGGCGCTGTCCCCCTCCCCCCCCTGTGGTGTGGTGGGGGTGTGGTATGGTATGTTGGGTATGTATGGTGTGTATGGTCGGTCTGGTATGGCATGTTTGGAAAGTATGGTATGTTTGGTAGGTATGGTATGTATGGCATGAGTGGTTGGTATTGTATGGATGGTAGGTATGGTATGTAAGTCTGTTGGGTATGGTATGTTTGATATGACAGTATGTATGGTCTGTATGGTATGTATGATTACTATGATGGTATGGCATATTTCCTATGTAAGGTATGTATGGTATGTATGGCATGTATGTTTGCTATTGTATGTATCGTAGGTGTGGTAATTACATTTCATATGTATGGTATGTATGGTGTGTATGATAGATATGATAGGTATGATAGGTATGATAGGTATGATAGGTATGGTATGCATGGCATCATTGATTGATTGTTCGGTACGGTATATGTTAAACACAGGTGGTGTTGTGAGAGTACACAGGTAGTAAATAGGAAGTAGATACAGTAGATACATAGCACATGTATATATGACTATAGGTAGCACGTAGGTACTTTCAAGGAGTATATGTGCTACGTAGGTCGCCTAAAAGGTAGCATGTAGCTAGTAAATGCGAGGCTGGTAGTCAGAAATACTGCAAAGACCTAGCAAATACGAAGCTGGACCTCAGAAATGCTGCCAATAGCTTGCAAATAGAAGGGAAGGGGGGCTGCTACCTGGGGACCCAACCCATGGGGGGGGGGGGTGGAGAGACGGAGGACGGGACCATATATAGATGTATATAGTATATACATGTACCGTATATGTTAATTATTGTTAATGGATGATCTTGGTCTTGGCATGTATTGGCAGTTTTTTTGTTTTGAAGAATATGGTGAGATCCCAGTTGAAAAGTCACAAACACACCTGGGACTGTTCTTGGAGGAATGATATGTGGACACCCACACCATGATGCAGAAAGCAAGGGATACTTTTCGGGTTGAAAAAGTGGTCCAGTCCTAATCGCATGCGAATTGAATTACAGTACAATTTGTGCATCCCCAATTCATGTGTTTATGTTTACAACACATGAAAAAAACCGTGCATCCCCAACTCTCAAGCTGCTTGGTCTCTTTGTTGCGTCGTGCAATGCGTCGCGAATGAATGGAGAGTTCAACAATCATCATGCAGTGCATCAAAAACATTACAGCTGCCAAAACATGTTATTGACACATGTTGAAACATCAATAACATTACAGCTGAATCAACTGCCAAATATCATAAATATCGTGTTGAAACAATCATAGTATACATCTCTGGCTGGTGGTTTGGAACATTTCATATTTTTCCATATATTGGGAATGTCATCATCCCATTTGACGAACTCCATCATTTCTCAGAGGGGTAGGTTGAAACCACCAACCAGATAATTAACCATCATTAACCAGATAATGAACCATCATTAACCATCATTTATAGATGCCATTTATAAACCAACCATTTTTCTCGATCTTTCACGGCTGAAACAACCGAGACCGTCTCGGGCAACATCCCAAACCTCGGTTCAACCGAGGTGGTTGAAGGGAATCTCCGAGAAGGGCACGGGAATCAGTTTCTCGGTCGGGTCGGGTGGCGTAGATCGTTTGGAGATTTCCGGACGCACCACCGATTTTTCAATGAAAATATGATGGAAGAGGGATGGATATGAATGAGATGGGTGTAAGAAACAGAAAGAACATGAGTAACATGGTGTACCCGCTGCGAAGTTCATGACTTCATCCTGATTTGTCTGAAAAACCAAGGTTATGAGACTGCAAATCCCTATGTAGCCTGCTCTTCCGTGGCTTGGTGGAGTATGTTCTGCCAACTTTGAGCCATCTGGGCAAAAATGAAAGATATTAATAAAGTGAGATATCGAACCAACAACATCAAGTTGTTTGTTACAGAGTATCTAAGATTACAGTAGCCATGCGAGGATGTTATGAAGCTTTGACATTTGACACCTGTGCTGTGGGTGTTTACCACCTTTGCCGAGGCTTATCTAATGACAGAGGTTGGCATGTTGTGCCATCCAATATGCTGCCTCTTGATGACATGAGGGCCCATTTCTGTGAGTTATACACTAATGTTCACTAAAAAAAAACTTGAAAACTTTGGTTGGTTCTATCTCCACTGTTTGCTGATTCCAGCCATTTGTTTCTGGCTTCTTTCCTGCCCATTTTAGCAGATCAGTTCACGATGGATGGGTTTGCAGGGATCATCCCAGCATCTTCCCTGGAAATCTTCCAAGCCCCCAGCTTTTTGGGAGCGCATAGCAATCTACCCTTAACGGGGATCAAAACTATAGTTCTGGGGAGTTATTGGAAGAATATAACTGATTGTTATGGGTTACGTTTGGTTATACTGATTCACAACCTTATACTGAGTTATTGGAAGTATTGACCAATTCATGAATCGGTATAAGGCTGTGAATCGTACTGGTACAAAAAAAAAGTACGACGTACAAGTAAGAATTTGAAGATGGAACAAAGAGAACCTGCCTGCACCTGGAACATATTCCTGTTCCATATTCTTGAAGGCTTAAGGCGTGCTTTTGTTTGGATATTTTGAAATGAGTTTTTGGGCGTGCTAAATGCGGTGGCAAAAAAAGTGGACCTGTGGTGGTGTTGGTCGTTGGTGGTGCTGCTGGTGTCGTTGCTGGTGCTCAATGATTTGACCGAGGATTCGTCTGAGGGCTTCTGCTCTCATGTGGACACCTCCTGCAAGGCGGGATGGCTGGTGAGTTTCTGCTGGTTGATTTTCCCATGTTTGTTGAACTCTCGATCAATCACTAGAATGGGAAACAAATTGCGGTTTCTGGGACAAAAACATCGACATGTTCATTACTTGTTATTACCCGTTGCAAAATTACAACTCAAACATAGAAAACCAATGAACAATCGAGACTTAGATTTTGTTCCATCATTTTCCACATCTCAAAAAAAACACAAAAAACACTCAGTAACAAGACTTCCAATAAATGACCGCCAAACAACTCAAAAAACAAAAAACATGTTTTCCATCTCCAAGAACTCAAGAAAGATCTCCATGAACAATCAATGATTTCCATTCAAAGAGTCATCATAAACATCATGAAGACAATCAAACCAAAAAACATATTTATGAATATAAACTATAGACATCAAAATTAGGTTTATATAGGTTTATATATTGTTTTTCCACGTTTTTCCATCATTATTTATATGTTTTTTCCATAAAACCCTTGGAAAAACCAGTGAACATCCCAAGTTTTTTTGCGCCAGGCTGCCAACGTGGCTCGCACCTGCGGCAGCTTCTCCCAGGAGGGTGGTCCATGTGACCTGGCGGAGTGCCGAAGATGACATGATGGAGTTGGTTTCCGATTTGGCATGAGACTTATAGTTACCTCAACTTAACCCTATTGCAAAATGTAAAACCATAGTTTAGTATACTAAATACTAAACTACCGCCTTGCAATAGATAGCTGGAAAAACCTTTGCCAAATGGTAGGTTTTTGATTGGGTTTACCACATGCTGGTTTTGGCAAGAAATGTGGTATTCTACAGACCAACATGTGGATTAAATATGATATGATCGTTAGGCATTCCAATTCGTCAGGCTTTTAATGCCCATGTTTGTTATCTGAAGTTATCTCAATCTCAATCTCGGCGGTCTACGGGAGAATCAACCGATTTTCACACCACGCGTTCCAGTGAAGCTGTTCCATGTTTTTTTTCCGACAAAACCAGTGCAATCCAATCCCTTCTGAAGAGAAAAAACATCAAGTCCATCATGATCCATCATTGCTTACCCTCCTGTAAACTAAGATGTGAAAAGAACACTGGACATGTAGATCAAGTTCCGAACGGTCGCCTCCATGGGTCTTCCACATCTAAACCCTCACTGTAGGACCAGATTTGTAGATCATTTTCCAGATCCCAGCTCAATGCTCCATGGTATGAGATAGGTTATCACATTTTACAACCCCCTATACACTTGAATTATATTCCCCTAATCAAGCCAGTTATATAGTTATATCTATCATTTTATTTCATGCACTATAGGTTTAGTGCGAATGATTATTGAATTATAGTAGAGTTATGTTTTATATCATTAACTATTGCCATCTGGTAATTTAAATTGAACATGACAATGTATAGTTGATTTACCTCCTTAAAAATCTGGTTTTCCATAGCTATGTTAACTTACCACAGGGTAACTCTAGCTATATCACGAATAGATTGACTATTATAACATAACTAATATAATGAACTATAACATACTACGGTATAACATACTATAACTATAACGATATAATATATATATATATATAGTCTATATATATTATATAACTATTATGACTCTAGTGATATCACGATTCGACTCCTTTAGGCACCGGCCTGGGCTACTTCCCCAACGCCACCATCACGGACTATGGCTCCATCTCTGGTGGGCAACCAGAAAAATCGGGGGGGACGGCAACCCTGCTGATGTTGTTTGAAAGGTGATTTTAATGGTGGATTTATGGCATTTATGGTGGATTTCATTGGGATTTATGGTGGATTTATTGGGATTCAATGTGGATTTATTGGGATTCAATGTGGATTTTATTGGGATTCAATTGAGATTGAATGGAATATCATTCACAAGTTGACATATTTTGTTCATGTTTTGTCTGGCAATGTGATGGTTAAGTATGATATGTCTTATACAGTTTGGAATGCAATCCCCATTTTCAGACACCCACCCATGTTGGCAAATGTAAGGGGAAATCCAAGATTTTGCAAATTCCCAATTGTTTTTTGCCATTTAGTTCGATGATTTACTTATTAAAGATGGTCATAGCCCTATTCAACATGGTCATAGCATGTCATAGCTATGTTAAACTACCGGAGGGTACAATGCATCTCTGGGAGATGTGATACGCCAAATCTGAAGTGAATATGAAGCATGTGCCAACTTCGGGGTTGGTTAATTGAATCCCATGATACTAGCAATGCCAACTTCAGGTATGTCCTACTGAATTCCCATATGAATTATCCATCGATCGGTTCCAATTTCCCATATTTATTCTGGTTGGTGGTTTGGAACATTTGGATTATTTTTTCCATAATATATGGGATAATTCTTCCCATTGACTAATATGTTTCAAAATGGTTAAAACCACCAACCAGCCCATTGTTTTCATATCAAGTTAGCAAGTCTAGAAAAGTACATTCAGTTATCCTCTGGTTATTTTCCACGTAGGGAACTGGAGAATCACCATGCTATTTATAGGATTTTATAGGTAAATCATAAAAAATCATCTATAAATGGGCCATTTTCCATGGTTATGTTAATAACCATAGGGTATATATGGTGTTCTACTTATATACAATGATTCCAATATCATTAATATAATTTCCACAGCTAGAACCAGAATTGAATCCCCATGATACTTGTCATATCTTATCTGTTTCTCATATTTTCTCCAAAACCTGAAGTAAACTCCAAGAGTTCTCCTCCGGTAGACATGGCAGTTGAGAATCCACTCTCCCATTGTTGGTATCCCCAAAAAAGTCCGTATGTTGGTGAAACCTTGTGGTTTTTGTCCAATGAAAAATTGACCAATGTTCTCATCCCATGAAAAATCACGATGAATGTTTGTTGAATCATCATTCAATCCATAGATATATCCTAGTGTCCCATCATCCCAATCTTATCCCTATTTAAATACATATATATATATATACACAATATAGAACTATTTTTTTTCCATCATCCCAATTTTATCCCTATGGAAAAAACATATATAAGATTTCGTATAAAAACAATATCAAACTATTACTTTTCCATCATCCCAATCTCATCCCTATGGAAAAATCACATAGAACCCCCGTTCCCATCCGTTCCCCGGTTCCACTTTGAGTGTTTTCCCGAGGTGCTGACGCCATGATGAAGGAGATCTTCCACCGCGGACCCATCAGCTGCGGCGTCGATGCCAACCCGTTGCTGAACTACGAGTCCGGCGCCTCGACGCGTTGGCGTCGTTTGGGGCGTTCTTTTGGGGTTTTGCCATGAAGAAATGGTGGGTTTTTCAACAAAGAAATGGTGATCTGGTTGGTGGTTTGGAACATCATCTAATTATTTTCCCATTACTATTGGGAATTTCATCATCCCAACTGACTTTAACTTCAACTCCATCATTTTTCAGAGGGGTAGGTTGAAACCACTAACCAGATGGTGATTTCATGGGATGTTCCCAAGAAGAATGATGGGATTTGGTTATCCACTAAAAAACTGGGTTTTCTAATGAGATTTTGCTAAGAAGAGTGGAATATATACTTGAATTGCCTGAGGATGTGTTTTTTTCCAATTAGAAATCCACTATTTGAGGAAGCTATAGAGAATATATTTTACTTGTTGGGAGTGTTTAAAGCAAATCCAGGTGTTTGTGTATATATATATATATATATAATGATTGATTGTTTGATTACTGTATCTATATATCATTAAAATTGTGATTTCTAATGGGATTTCTCCAAGCTAAATGGTAGAAATATACATTTATATAATTTTATATACATTTATTTGTCATAGTTTTTTTTTTTGTTCGGGACATATATAGGTCATGGGATTTCTTTCTATTTCCCGGTCATGGAATCGCCATGGGATTCCACGACTCCCAGGTATCATCAAGACCAAGGGCGAAGGTGTGGACCACGTGGTCTCTGTGGTCGGCTGGGGCACTGACTCCAAGGTGCCGAAAGCGTAGTTGAAGCACCCGGAGTTGAAGTTGATTTCATTCTTTACTGTCATGGGAAATCAGTACCCTCTGGTAAACGTTTGCATAACTATGGAAAATCACCTTTTTTAATGGGTAAATCAACTATAAATGGAACATTACTGGTTGGTGGTTTGGAACATGTGGATTATTTTTCCATATTTTGGGAATTTCATCATCCCAACTGACGAACTCATATTTTTCAGAGGGCTAGGCTCAACCACCAACCAGTTACTGTCATAGTCATGGGAAATCAGGTTTTGTGGGCCAGAAATCCCTGAGATTTGGGGATCAATTCACCACTGATTCACCACGGCTTCCCTTAAAAAATCTGCGGTCCAGGACGGCATGTACTGGATCGTGCGCAACTCCTGGGGCGAGTACTGGGGCGAGATGGGCTACTTCAGGCCTGGAAGATGATCAGGTGTCAAGGTGTCCCGATATCCCAAGGCTCTTTTGAAGTTATGGTTTAGTGATCTATATGAGGGGTTTCCATAAATGGGGGTACCCCAGTTTTCATCCATTTTTATAAGATTGTCCCCTATAAACAATCCATTTGGGGTACCCCCAATTTAGGAAACCTCCATATGAGGGGATATGTTTCCATATATGTTTTGGGTATTTATGATTAGGCCTAGGCGAGACTTTGAGTAGATTTTATCAGAACATATTCTGAAGATATATCTCTGCGAAGGTTCTTGCACCGTACTTACAAATTTATCCTCTTCGCCTCGCAGGTCTCATACCGTCTTGGTCGGAGTATCTCCAGCCTTGTTGCCTACATACTTATTCTTGTTGGTCTACCTACCTTCATTGTTCAAACAGGTTCAAACCCTGGTTTTTGACAGCTTAGCTACAATTTGTTGATGAGCAAATTCGAATGTTGTGTTGCTGCACAAATGCTCAACCTGATGCTTCCCTAAATCCCGATTCTTGCAGCTGTAAAATATGTTTAATCCCAGTTGTTCAAAGGTCAAGACCCCACATGTGCTGGCTGTTTAGACTTTAGATTTTTATAGATTTGGGCTTGTGTGAAAATTCGGTATACCCCCTAAATCGAATGGTTAATATAATGCTTAATAATTGCAATCATTATGCCCCTATTGAAATTGCCATGGTATATCCCCTTCTCAGACACACCCAAATATCATATCAAGTTGGTGAGTTGTACAATATATATATATACAACATATTCCCTGTTTGCAGATGATTGTCCAATTATCTCCCATTACAAATTACAAACATCCTTTTACTACGGTGTATAACACCAACTGCTTCCCTGCTTCTAGTTGTCAAGTATGTATCCAATATTATTCAATGATATCAAGTTGGTTAGTTAAGCTTAATTGCATCCCCATTTACATGCTCTCTTGTGAACTAACATAGATGTGGAAATCTACCGTGTATATATATATATATACACATAATTTTCCGAACAGGCTTCCCAATGGGTTTTCCACATTTTCTTAAACACGTTTACCCCAGGGAATATTCCCATGAGTATTTCTATATCAAGTTGGTTATATAGTTATCATTAAGATATTGTTCATCGATTTATGATATCCCATATCAAGTTGGTTAGGATTAGATTCCCTTTAACAAATCTTTAACATATACAATTAGATAATAAATTATACATATATATATATATATAGATATACATATATATATACAATGTGGTGCCTCCAGACGACAGCTAAGTTGTTTTACAACTTCAATAATTATTGCTTTATACCTCTATACTCTATAGTTATACAATGGGCTTCTCTTAACCAAAACATGTGGAGATTCCCTGGAGATTTTCTATTGTTATTATAGTTATGTTCACCAACTTGTATGGGGCCCCATCCTGTACCCTTTGGTAAACCAACATAATCACCATGTTTAGTAAATCAACTATTTCAATGGCCATGTTCAATAGCAAACTCTTAGTTTACCAGAGGGTATTCCCTGGATATGGAGGTTTCCTGAAATAGGGCTACCCCAAATCATCCAATTGAGTAGGATCTTCCATTATAAACCATCCAGCTATGGGGGTACCCCCCATGACTATGGAACCCCCTGGAGACATCCCCATGCCGCCAGGGTGGCCAAGGGTGCCCTGTTGCTGGAGGACCAGTGCAGCTGGGCCGTGCCCGGATCCTTCACGGCGGCCGAGAAGGACAACCAGGTGCCAGCGCCTTCAAAGGGTGAGGAGATGGTGCTTTAATGGCCATATATCATGGGAATATCATGGGAGCCATAGGATTTTTAAGATGTAACTAACCATAGATGATAGTTATGGTGATTTAGTAGGATTTAAATGGGTGTTCAGAGCAGGTTTGATTTTAGTGATTTGACATGTGTTTTAAGCATTTTTGTTGATGATATGTTGATAATCTTATAGTTTACTAACCAGTATATAGAGGTTTAATGTGGTTTTGCATGGTTTGATAAGAAAAATAATCGGATAGTGATAATAGTAGTGGCTTCTAAACTCCTGTTGGTTGATGATTTTGGTGATTGCATACGGATTTAACCATCAATGAGGCGGTTCTAACCATCAAACATATGAGGGTATAGTTGATAAATAATATAAATAGTGGTTGGTTGATGATTACATGAGATTAATAATGGAGGAATTAACCATGAACATATTGGGATATAAGTGGATATGATTGACAAATGATTTGTGGTTGATGACTAGTTAAGGGATTACTAACCAATATAATGGGGAATATCACACTCCATAGGCAGGGGAATGCCTGTCAACCAACAAAAGTGTACCCCAAAGTGTGATGATTTTTTGGGGGACTACCCCATTTTCAGACACACCGACCAAAAAACAGTAACAGTATGCATGTCTTATTAAATCCTTTCTTTTGGTGGTCATATAGCTCGCCACTTTCACAATTGAATCACTACGGGTGAACTCCACATTGGTGAATCCCTCTGTCACAGTGTTCAAAAGCTCTACAGTATTGATTTCTGGTTGGCGGTTTGGAACATGTCTTTTTCCATTCAGTTGGGAATTTCATCATCCCAACTGACGAACTCATATTTTTCAGAGGGGTAGGTATACCACCAACCAGATTTTCATTGGAGATTGTCGAATCCCCCATGAATCCCACTACATCGCCATTTCGGGAACTGGAGGTGCCAATCGTTTTTTTTTGAGGCCGAAGGGTCTTCCCACTGACTATAGTTGGATCCCATACAGGATGGCCCCCCCCAGTTGTTTGTTGGTTTATAAACCATTACAAGCACCATTAACTAGTTCGTTATATCTACCATAAACATCCATAAACCATAGTTCATTCAAATAAGTTGGTTTATAAACCATTATGACCCCCATGAATACTATAGTTATATATATATAGTTATATCATTTATATCTACCATAAACCATAGTTCATTCAGCCACGAAAATCAGGCATCTGAACGCGGAAACCCACGGGGGCCCCATCCTGTATTATCCCAATACGTTTGGTGAATGCCTCCATGGTTCCTTTCCTCTCCTTTCGAGGTGCACTGCCATGAGGGCGGCGACAATTGCAAGGCAAAGGCCGTCGAACAGGTGGTGGTTTGAAGCGCCGCCCACAAACCCAGGGGCCCTCGTGGTTCTTGGAAACTGGTGCTTGACCTTATAAAAACATATAAACACACAGTATTTCAACCAAAATGATCCGGTTTGTCCGAAAAATGGAGGGTGTATCCTGAAATTGGCAAAAGCTGGAGCGGGATGATGGGGATGATGATGAACCAGTAGCAATTTTTCAGGGAATTGCACCTTTGGCCTTGCCACCTCGGAAGTTGATAGGACCTACCCAGATTCCCAGCCACACCAAGGTCAGTCCTACCAGATCAACCTTTGAAGTACTGCTGAGACAATGGTCGCCATGTGATGGCAAGCACTCCGTGTCTAACAGCCCGCCGTCCTAAGTCCTCCAGCAGCCGTGTAAGCTTCGCTGGGGCGGGACATGGATTCAACTTGATTCAACATAATTTAACCGACGGGCCATTTGTTGTAGTCTTTTGTTTTTTCCCTATGGTGAGGCTAGTCAGTCAGTGCGGGGGGGTGTCACATGTCATTGTTTTTCAGCAGTTTCTGGGGGCTCATGGTAGATAGTTGGTCTGCCATTCGAGTCAGCAAAAAAAGGAACGTGGGGCGCAGTGGCAAGTAATGTTTCATGGTGAGGGTGTTCCGGGTGTACCGTTCAAAGACAGTTGTGACCATATCAGAATATAGAATATAGAATATAGAATATCGAATATCATATAATTTCATATTTAACTTCATTTAATTTAACATACTATAATCTCATATATACAGTGCAATGTCTGGATCAGACTACTATCATATTGTTTTGCGTTTTGGTGCCTTTGGTTGGGTTGGTAGGTGATGGGCAGCCAATGATCAACAGGGCAAGATGTTTCCCTTTATAGTAATATGGGAATATTATAGCTTGTTTACCACTATTGTATACGATATACAATATATCATATTTGCCACTATACAGTATTGTATGATAAACAGGTCATGGGTAATGATAAAATATGATAAATTGTGCCAATCATATTTTGTGGGTGTATGAGTTTGTCCGCAAATAGGGTACCACTTCATGTGTTGTTTGACAATATATCTCCAAATTCAATGACCATTTGGAGTGTATACACCATTTTCAGACACACCCATATGCAGGGTGTCGGGGTGTGTACAGCAAATAAACAAAAGATGAACAAAAAGTAAGCTCCCACATCAGGAATCCGGTGCACCTGCATCTTATTGGCGCTGATTCTACATTCAACTACTGCATGAAAAATCACCTTTTTTTGGCTGGTCGCTATCGCCGCAGGTGGGAAGTTTCAATCCTTCCAAGTACTTTGAGGAGAAGCTGTGGGTGGGGTTTGTGTAGATGCTGGGTGATACTGTGGATAGAGGAAATTCTGCACCAGGCAGGGTAACTATTGAGATTCCTATGAAATACTGTAAATAATGGGATTATAGTGGGATCTTTACTATCTACCAACTGGTGCAGGATTTCGCAACCATCCTCAGTGCTATGTTATATTGGCATAGGTCCTTACCATTCCTCGCCTGCAACCTGTCTCTTTACATCCGACATTAAAACCGTGGCAACATGTAACCGTGAAATCTTCGGGAGAGCCGTGGCAACTGCTTGTCCTTGACCCTACAAAATGGCAACCGTTCCAATACCTAACCATGCAGGCGGCCTAGGTCTCCGTGGAGTGACATGTTGTTCTCCAGGAGAAATATTTCTGGGAGAAGGCCAATGCACCTTGGCTGTGGAATTCTGATTGAAGGACCCTGAAGGTGTAAGATTTGCAAAGTGATCTTTGGAGTTTCCGAGTTTCCGGGGAGATTTTTTTTGGATATCTAGTTTCTAATCTACGTTTGGACCCTCCAAACAGCCTCAAAAAATGTAAACATACTTTAAAAATCTGGAGTAAAACACATGTTTTGACGGTACAAACGGAGGGTCTAGTAGTTCTAAGTTGGATTTTTGGTGTTTGGGCAATCTCCAGCTGAACGCTCTGTTTCAGCATTCACACTACTGCTGCATAGTTCTGTTACATTATATATATATAATTATATATAATTATATATATATTACATTAACACATATTATGATATGAAATATATGGTAATAGATAATTTCAGTTTTCACGGTTTATATGCTAAAAATGCTTTACATTGTATTATAACATATTATACAGACATGAAATTCTGCCTGCATGTGAAAACCGTAGGGTTCACTAAGGTGGGCCCCTTCTTCCTGTTCCTCTTCTTCGTTCCCAGCCTCTACCGGTCCTTCAAGGCTGAACGGGAAAGCGGGAACAGTGGACATTGTTACAGTGGGCAAACAATACTAATTACTGTAGTATACATAGTAATCTAAGATAATCTAAGAATATGTTTATTCATTTTTTGAGGTTTTTGTGTATTTCATCGCGTTCACTGAAACTTTCACCCAGGAAACACCAAATGAATTAATATCACTTTGATGATCAGAAGTCGTAACAAGGCTTCTGCAGGCGAACCCGTGGAAGGATCAGGACGACCAGAATATACCGCAGAAGATCGACCTAGATACGGAAAAATGCAAGTGAAAAATGTAAGCTAGTATTTTTCCAGTTTTAATTGTTGCACTCGAGGATCACATTCAGGTATCACCGAAGTAATGGGCAACAATATGCAACAATACTACGTATGATTAACCTTATGTCTGTGGTACCTCAAATTCCAATGGTTTTCATGCCCTAATCCCTTCATAACGTTGGTTATTGCTGCGTATCCCATGATCCTACTATAACCATGTATATGATTCCAATATGCATTATGTAATATATATATATTATATACATATATATATATACATATATATATATATCAATATGTTTTTTTCTATTCCAATATATTGTTCATAGTATATGTTGGTCATCCCATTTTTCCCAAGAGATTTCCATGGTCTTCCCATCTTCCCAGCGCGCCGCTCGGATCCGCCCGGGTAGGATTTCTACTGGACGCAGCAGTTGCGTAAGCTGAGCACCGAAGAAATCATCAGCGATCGCTACGAGTGGCTTCGCTCGGGGCCCAAGGGGCCCTTTTGGGGCCGGCCGCGGAGTGAAGGGAAGATCTGCTTCTTTAAGCTGCTGATATAGCAGCAATCACCTCGGAAAAGGAAACAATTGGAAAGTCACTTAAATTGTCTACTGAAACATGGTGATACTTGGATTTGGTTCTTTTTTTGGCGGTACTATACACCGGAAATTGTATGAAAACCATATGTTGCGGTTATGACCCATATTCACATATATATATATCCAATTATATATGGTTCACATATTATGTATATATATCCAATTATATATTATATATATATTAAAACCATATTATATACACATACCTATAGCTGTGAAAATTGACAGAAATTGACCATGGTGGCTATGCTTTCCCGGCCACAGGGCTCAACATGTTGCAGGATGAGGTGGAAACTGAACTGCTGAAGCAGGTCGGTTGTGGAAACACAGGGCTGGGTGGCGGTTGTCTTAGGCTGGGTTTGGGTGAACTGCCAGAAATCTGAAATATGGTGATTGAACCAACCAAGACCTAAAACTACGTGAAAACACGAGTGTTTTTGCAAGGGAAACACGGAATTCAGCAAGAACATACCTGTTTTATCCTGTTTCTTCTCTTAGAAAGGATTTAACTCATCAGTAGAATTTGGATCCCTGGGCTTTATCAACCATGAACATAGTGAGTCGAACTTGCCAAGCAACGTCTGGACATTGGGGGTCGACAATTTCCATGTGCTGAAGATCAGTTGGCCAAATAATATGTGGTCCCCATTCAGTGATGTAGTGAATGTAGTGAAGAAAGTTTGTTCATGTTTGGTATGCACCATATATAGACAATATAGACGTTTCCGTTCCCGCAATGGAGTGATATCTAAAAGTATCCATGGGAAATTGGCTAAAGTTCCCCAAACCTACACCTCCACTTGGTATTTCAATCCGAGTTGTTTGGCATGTTTTACGATTGTTTGTCTATGTTGGCATGAGGCAAACTTGAGGTAAATGACTAATCCCCCCTCCCCGAGAATGCTAAATAACCCAAATTGAATGGAACATCTGGTTCTAGGGAATATTAGGCTAGTATTCAATGTTATTATTGCATGCGAAGGGATTACTTACAGTTGATTACTATATAATTGTCACTAACTGTCCATATTGTCTGTGAATAGATATTATAAATTTGAATTACATTACCTCACCTTTTTCGTTTAAATAGCTATAAGAAATCACATTTATATAAATCACATTAAATCACATCATCAAATCACATTAAATCACATTCAAACCCTATTCGTTGGTTAAATCCACTACCAATCAGTTCATCTGCAGATGCCTGCGGGCGGCGTGAAGCCACTGGAACTGGGGCCTGCGACACCTCCATGAGAGCAGGCGTCCATGGGGAATTGGGATATCAACATAAGGGGGAGTTCACTAAACATCAATGGATTTCCTCGTCAGATATTCGTCCAGATGCCAGGATTCTCAACATTTTTTGGACTTTGGGATAGCTCCATCAAAATATAGATATCTGGTTGGTGGTTTGGAACATGACTTTTATGACTTTCCATTCAGTTGGGAATGTCATCATCCCAACTGACGAACTCATATGTTTCAGATGAGTTGAAACCACCAACCAGTCAATGGATTTCATGGGATATACTTAAGTAAACTTAAGTATATATCTTAAGTCATGACACACTCACGATTGAAGAAGATAAATGATCATTAAATTTTGTGGGGTGGTCCAAAAATGGTAGGGACCGACCCAAAGCCGTTAGTTCGCGGGGAAAGTGAGACCCTGGGGCTCGGGGATGTTTTGGGTACACTATTTCCTTCATGGGCCATGGGAAGATCCGGGGCATCTATGCCCAAAATGAATAGACACCAACGATTGAAATCACAAGGTGGTTGAACATGGACCCAGCAATGCCACATAACCATACATAACCACCCTTCTTATTGCAGTGTTATGAACATGTCTTCCACTTTGTCATGGATCTTGTTTGGTCAGATCAGTCTATAAAAAATTGGAATTCCAGTAAAAAGCCTACCGTCGTGATGGGTAGTCGTCATTTTTTGAGCACAACAAATCACTCATTGAAAGCAGAATCCCCTATATTTTGATGGCAAAAAAATGGGGGGTTCAACCAGAATTCTGGTGGTTTTTACCCTGTTTCCAGCGATCCCTTGGAGAAGTGGTTTTCCACCTGACCCCAGTCATCACTCAGGGGCAATCCGATCCGACGGTTGCGCGTTGTGAGAGAGTCTATGAAGCACGCGGCGGAAAACATTTTGGTGAAGCACAAAGGGATGAGTCGTTTCCAACGTGGAAGCGAAACGAAAGATGGAGTTTGGAAGAGAAGTTTTTCATTGGATCTTATATCATCTGACAATTTTTGGGTTCCATGTGAAAAAAAATGTCAATTAACTTTAGGGGTGTAGAAGTAAAAAACCTTCCTGGCCATCAACCATTCCCAATAAATCTGGAACTACGAACTTCTGTTAGAAGAAAACAACAGCACTTTGATGGACTCGCGAATAGATTTGACACCTATTTTTGTTAGCTCTAGTTGATTCGGCAGCGACTGGAACAGGAAAAAAAGCGGCTTGCAGCTCATTGGGTCTATAGCTGTCTCCAATGATGAAGAAGCTAATTCACTCAAATTCTTGTTCATGGTAAGCTAAAATTCATTCAATTCCCAAATTCATTCAAATTCTTGCTCATGGTAAGCTAAAATTCATTCAATTCCCAAATTCATTCAAATTCTTGTTCATGGTAAGCTAAAATTCATTTAATTCCCAAATTCATTCAAATTCTTGTTCATGGTAAGCTAAAATTCATTCAATTCCCAAATTCATTCAAATTCTTGTTCATGGTAAGCTAAAATTCACTCAATTCCCAAATTCATTCAAATTCTTGTTCATGGTAAGCTAAAATTCATTCAATTCCCAAATTCATTCAAATTCTTGTTCATGGTAAGCTAAAATTCATTCAATTCCCAAATTCATTCAAATTCTTGTTCATGGTAAGCTAAAATTCATTCAATTCCCAAATTCATTCAAATTCTTGTTCATGGTAAGCTAAAATTCATTCAATTCCCAAATTCATTCAAATTCTTGTTCATGGTAAGCTAAAATTCATTCAATTCCCAAATTCATTCAAATTCTTGTTCATGGTAAGCTAAAATTCATTCAATTCCCAAATTTCATTCAAATTCTTGTTCATGGTAAGCTAAAATTCATTCAATTCCCAAATTCATTCAAATTCTTGTTCATGGTAAGCTAAAATTCATTCAATTCCCAAATTCATTCAAATTCTTGTTCATGGTAAGCTAAAATTCATTCAATTCCCAAATTCATTCAAATTCTTGTTCATGGTAAGCTAAAATTCATTCAATTCCCAAATTCATTCAAATTCTTGTTCATGGTAAGCTAAAATTCATTCAATTCCCAAATTCATTCAAATTCTTGTTCATGGTAAGCTAAAATTCATTCAATTCCCAAATTCATTCAAATTCTTGTTCATGGTAAGCTAAAATTCATTCAATTCCCAAATTCATTCAAATTCTTGTTCATGGTAAGCTAAAATTCATTCAATTCCCAAATTGATTCAAATTCTTGTTCATGGTAAGCTAAATTCATTCAATTCCCAAATTCATTTAAAATCCAAATTCATTCAAATTCTTGGGATGGGGTTCAAGCACCATAAGCTAGTTACTGCTAGTTGATGGTCGCTGGAAAATTGACACCAAACTCAGTGGCACATCGAGTGGAACTTCCCTCGTCACGTCATTTGCAAAGCTCCATTTGAAGAAATATTGAGTACTACCTGGCTACAGAATTGTATAAGTGAGAAAATGGTGGTTTGGAAGATGTTTTGTCCATTCAGTTGGGAATGGAATAAAAATCCCAACTGATGAACTCATATTTTTCAGCGGAGTTGAAACCACCAATCAGATAATTAACCATCATTAACTATCATTAATCACTATTAATCACCATCATTAACCATCATTAACCATCATTAACCATCAGTTAACCATCAGTTAACCATTATGAACCATGGAAATCCCTATGGAAATCCCCATATAACGAAACTTGACTCAGAGCTCCATGATGCTTCTATGGGTCGAGATGGCTAGAGATGTCCTGAACCCACCCGAGATGGCGGCCGCAGCGATTTTCCCTGTTTGGTAACTGGTATGTTTAGATATGTCTAGTATGTTTAGCCAGTAAATTGACATTAGATATCATGATATAGAATATTATATATATATATACATATATATATAGATATGTAAAGCAACGATTAGATATGTAATCATGTGTCCTTTCGGACACAGAGGTTTTTCCAGTTTTCCATGCCATTTTCCTGTCAAAATTCCATGCCGTTGACTTCACAACCGCCGCCTCCTTTTGGCCCAGCCGAGTGAGGGCGCCACTTAAAACGCCGAGGCGCCATTGAAGTGGGGTATATATATATATCCCAAGTTTTGATGGCTAAAATCTGTTAAAATCCCAGTAAAATTCCATTGAAGTGGGTTTTAAGTATGTATAACATGATGATGATGATGATGATGATAATGATGAGGATGATGATTATATATATATATATGAGCCATTCGATGAATCCCATTTGGTTGATAGATTGTTCATCCCTACTTGTAGAATGTCTTGGGATTTTCAACACGGCCTGGTGGATCAACTGCTGGCAACATGTTGATCGCCAAGTACCCAGAGAAAATTGGTCAGTTCTCTACCTACAGAATTAATGCTTGCAGCCATGAAATTCATACACAGTACTCGTTGGTGGTTTGGAACATGTGGATTATGACTTTCCATTCAGTTGGGAATTTCATCATCCCAACTGACTTTAACTCCATCATTTTTCAGAGGGGTAGGGCTCAACCACCAACCAGATAATTAACCATCATTAACCATCATTAATCACTACTAATCACCATTAATCACTATTAATCACCATTAATCACAATTATACCATCAGTTAACCATTATTAACCATTATTAACCATTATTAACCATTATTCACCATGCAAATCCCTATGGAAATCCCCATATATACCATGATATACCATGATATACCACCAACCAGACACTAACTGCTGTCAGGCCATGGCGGAGACACGGCCGTTGAAGGTGGGATTTGTGGGGCCGGATCTCGGAAAATCGTGTGGCCAAGCATGAAACCACATGAAGCCATCATTTTTTTTATATTTTATTTATAGTTGGTTACATACCATATCTTATCATATATATATAGTTATAAGATATAAATAGTTATTATATATATAAAATTAAATAGTATTAAATAATTAGTATATATATATAAATTATAGTTATATATATATATATATTCTAGTTATATATATACATATCATAAATGATTTATGTATTCATTTTTCATATACTCCATGATATCACCTTGGCTTTTCGCACTTCTCCAACTCGGCACGTCGCCCGAAGCGGCGCAGGCCGCTGGAGCCATGCGTTGGTTGGCGCTGGGGCTGGCTGCCTTTGCTGCCTATTGGGCGCCCAAGGTGCGTGGGAAGGGGGGCTGATATATTATACTATGATTTGTTTATTTACACTATACACATGTATGTGTATATATATATATATATTTATTTATTTTTTATGACAATATACATATATATATACATACATGTGGGGTGGGTCAAAACCAGGTCGGTACCATAGTTTCGGGGATTGAACACAATAAACAAGTCCATAATCACCAACAATTTTGATTCGAACTAGCTATGAGCCGGTAAACATGGACACATAGTTGAAACGGGACTTATATGGGTATAGTTCAAGCAGTTGGGTCCAAAGTGAGATTCAAGGCCTTTATATATCTATTGGTTTATATTTGATTATATAGAGTCCTCAAAATGTTTTGTGGATCGCTGAATGTTTAATTCTGGTTCCTGGAATTGCTTGACAGGGCGATGGACAATTCCATGTTTTACCATCTTTAGGAGTCATAGTGCGTACGTGAGCATAAAAAGGAATATCATCTACATCAATAGGAATAATATATATAGTACAGCATTATTTATACAGTTGAATTTATAGATCAAACTTGTTGATACCATCCAGTAAATTAACATAGACCCTGCCAGATAGGGGTTGGAAGATTGGTGTCCATTAGAAATTGGTTATTTTCAGGGTCTATGTTAATTTACCAGAGGGTAAATCCCAAATAATTTCAGGAATCCCAAATTTGATGAGTTCCTGCAGCTAAACCTGCCAGGTTTGGGTCAGCGGATCCTTGCAAAACGAACGCAGGCGCGATGGGTTGGATCAAACACATGAGTTTCACCATGAATTTCAGGTTGGTTGATTCAAATACATATCATTGCATTTGATATATCATAATTGACCACATGTATATATATATATATATCAAACTATCCATATCAAATTAGTGTATTACCGATGATCATTTATGATATCATTATATAATTTTCTTATGTATATGATCAATTATCTAATTCATGGGGTAACGATCGTATTGTTGAGATGGAGGCCGGAGCTGGTGGCTTGTCGCACCACAGCGCGACGTGTGTCTTTGCCCAACGTGAAGAACATTGAGGCGCAAGGAAAGCAGCGTTACGTGGATGATTTTCAATAAAGTTGGTGTTAACCGATGTGTTTTTGTCCCCATATAGTGATATTATTGCGATTTTTAACTCTGCTGAGTTGGGTTGTTTTTACATCAAGATAGAATATGATGGCCAATAAAGATACCAACTGATAAGATGAGATTGATCAAATTCTTCGGGAATCTGAAGTATTTTTTGAATCCATGACACAACTTGTCACCTCCAGCGTCCCCGAAAAAGCCACTCGTGAGATTGTTGGTTTCAGTCACACTGATGGTCAGTGAGCAAAGTGGGAGGATTCCCAATGGTAAGATATACTCTTTTGTTATTTAACGTAGCGAACTGGAGAATCACCATGCTATTGATAGGGAAATCATGAAAAATCATCTATAAACGGGCCATTTTCCATAGCTATGTTAAATGACCAGAGGGTATGTGGTAACCATTTTGTACTTCCGAGGATGTCCAAGTTTAGTTGCAGGTCATTCAGACTTCCCTCGTTAGGGTCCAACGTGCCCAAGCAATGGTTTTTGCTGAGGAATTCTGCTTGAATCCAATATGAAACCATGTGAAAGCCAAGAATTCCAGAGTAAAATGTTCTAGAAGCGAAGGTATTTTATGTTGTTTGGGGCCGGATCACAGGATCCACCAAAGACCAAAAGGTCGAAACAGCCAGAGGCCTGCTTTCCATGGTTCAAAAGAAAATGTTCATTCAGAAGGCGCTTACTGCCTCTGTAAGCACTATAAACCTTCTTGTGCTTGACCGAAAAAGGGGGAGCGTGCAGCGACATAAGACAGCCTAAAATTATCCTAGCGGGGGGGTTCCCATGGTTTCTCTATATGATCAATGATCTACAAAAGCTGCTAAGCTGGATCTCCACCGTCACTGGAGGGTACCCAGTTGTACCGCCATCCGCCGCAGTCGCGGAAGTCGATGAAAGAGCACAAGTTCGATGAGGACCAGCCTGAGACTGGCTTTCAAGGTATGATAAATCGTGAAACTGACAATGTGGGGCCCCCGTTTACGATAGCTATACGATAGCTAAGTTGGTTTAGAACTTCAATAACTATGGTTTATGATAGCTATAACTATGTAGTTAAAGCAATGAAACTTATTCCCATGCTGCCTTTTTGTGTAAGTTACCATGATAGCAGAGTCGATGCACAATTTGCGAAGTGTGTATCGTTTCGACACTTGGATGATCTCAGAGCTCAGCTACGTTGCAGTATGGGGATGTAATTTGGGACCACACGTGCATTATACAATAAGATGTGATTAGGAATTAGGATATATTTGAGTTGACATAGTGAGGACGAACATATGTGAACATTGACATAAGATTAACATGTCAGGAATACACAAAATATGTATGTGACTGACACCCATCTCCGGGATAGCCTGAAGAGGGTGCCCTGAATCAGACACACAGATAGCATGGCTTGCGGGGAAGCATTGGGATTTGCCCCCTGGTTGTTTAACATAGCTATGGAAAATGGTCCATTTTGATAGATGATTTAGTATGATTTACCTATAAAAGTATATAAAAGTGACTTTCCATAGCTACGTTAACTAGCCAAAAGGGTAGCCATCCGATGGCAAGTATGGTTCTCGTGGTGCCCATTGTTGGGCCTGTCCAAGTGAAGGAGGAAACCGCTCCAAAATGGCCATCCCAGAGCCGAAATCCAGGGTAACAACAGCTTTTCTGGTTAGTGCTTTGGAACATCACTGATGGGAAAATCACCATGCTATTAATGGGTAAATCAACTATTTCTATGGAACATAACTGGTTGGTGCTTTGGAACATGAATGGATTCTGATTTTCCATTCAGTTGGGAATTTCATAATCCCAACTGACGATTTTTCCATAATTTTTCAGAGGGCTAGGTGTTTTTGCACATGTACAGTAGTCTTTGGGTGGAAACACTTTCCTTTTTGACCCGGAGTCCGGTGCAAAAGAGTATGGCAACATGCGACCGCCTTCAACTGGCGCTTGTTTGCAGGCGTTTGCCTTGATAAAGGGCCGAAATTGAAACCCATACTAATACAGTACATGTTTCATTTGCCTCTTGTTGCCCGGATTTTGCATCCATTTCTTTCCATATCTCCTAGTTCGGGAACCATTTCTGTTGATTACCCCTTTGTATTGGTGATCATTCCAACATACCCATCATTTCTGCTCGTAGATCTCCTTCCACTTTCTGGTTCTTGGCCGCCCCAGTAGCTTCAGCTGGCAGCAAAATCCAATTACAATCCCACTAAAATAGTTAGTTAATGGATGGTTATTCCCCGGAAATATGGTTCATCATATGTGTTGACCCATCCCCATTTCTAACGAATTCTGTTGTAAATCCCCCATTGTTTACCGTAGGATGGCGGCATGTATGACATCATCAAGTACCCTCTGCTCACAGAGAAGGTCCTGCTGTTGATGCTGAAAACATCCGGGCCGGCGAGGGATTGACTGAAACCTTCGTGAAGGTCATTAGCCTATACATATTTGATAGATTTGAATAGTATATTGATTTGGAATTATATGGACTTAGATGGATGAATGTGGATTTATAGTGGATCTAGTTAGATGGGATTTGAAACCAATTTGTAACTCGGGTGGCTTTTCTGTATGGATGTTTCACTCTTGCCTAAACAAAGGTGATGGTCCGAGCATGGTAAACATGAGAATGCCCAGCTCTATCATCTGAAAATGAGGTATACCACCAACTCGCCATTTTCATGGAAAAATGATGGATTTTCGTGGGAAAATTACGGATTTTCATGGAAAATGATGGAACATGATCATAATTCATTTGGGTTTTAGGGCACCCTATTTTCACACGAACCCAGAATCTATAATGTGTTTGTTCTTATTATTTACAGTACCAACATGACAATTTATAAGATTAAGATTATTTAGCCTCAAAAGGTTTAGTTTACCACATTCTTGTTCACTGGGTCTCTGTGAAAATTGGGGGTCTCGAATATCCATGGTTTATCATTATTGCTCCTACTCTGCGCCATTCTCAGACAAACCAAGTTTTATGGTTCAATTCATTGTTTTTCTGAAATCCATATCCAAATGATATTCTCGAAATCAATACTATTTATAAATTTCGTGGTTACATCACCATGTTGCTTTGTTAAATGCAAGAACTTCTTTGACTGTTTTGTATCCAAACAAAAAAGTTGGAGGATTCTCTAAGTGTTGAAAAAAACATCTCCATCTCCCGTCGATCCCGGTGGACCCGATCTCTGGTGAATTCCCCATGGCAAATCTTCATGGCAAATCAACTGCTGCTTGGTGCTTTGGAACATCACTGATGGGAAAATCACCATGCTATTAATGGGTAAATCAACTATTCCAACTATTCCTATGGAACATTATTGGTTGGTGCTTTGGAACATGAATGGATTATGATTTTCCATTCAGTTGGGAATTTCATAATCCCAACTGACGATTTTTCCATCCTTTATCAGAGGGGTAGGTCAACCACCAACCAGATAATTAACCATCATTAACCATCATTAGTCACCATTAACCACCATTATTTAGCGACCATCACCAACCAGACAGAACTTAGTGGTGAACTCAGCTACGGCGCAGGCGTGCCGCCTCTTGGAGAAATACAACACCTACACCTTCCTGGTGGATCGACGGGCCAACAAGTCCCTCAGCGCTGGGAAGATGTGTTGGGAGCATGTGATGGGAACATGTTGGGAACATAAGGGAAAATGCCCTCTGGTTATGTCAAAATAGCTATTGAAAATGACCATTGAAATAGTGGATTTACCCATTGAACATGGTGATTTTCCATAGTTATGTTAGTTTACCAGAGGATATGTGATGGAACATGTGTTGATTGCTTTTGTTTGCCAAATCAAAATGGAGTATGACTTGCAATAATAAATGGTGATGTCAATTGATATCATGATATCCCGGCCACTTTCAGACATACCAAGACCTGCTGATGCGGAAAAGCCGCATGGCCCGTATCCTTAACGAGGATCCACGGAGCATCGATGAAAGCTGGTAACGATGTTTGTCAATTGTCAATGTTGGCCGTTGATCGTTGGTATACATTATGACCACCAGTGATATGTGTGATGGTGATATGGTACATTGATTGTATATTGCAGATCGAAAACTAGCATGTAAACTGGCAATCGGGATCTGCGGATCTGCTAAGCATGAAATGGTGAGGATTTGATATGATTTGATGACATTATCACCTTAAGTGGGATGATTCTTCAAGTAACATAGCTACTCCAAGAATTGGGTGGGAAGCCATCGTGGGTAGGCCCCGGAGCTTTGTGCGGCCAAACTTTGTTTGCTTCTTTGACTTCTTTGACATGATTTGGAGCTTTCATTCTTCATATTCGGAACTTTCGAATCGGTGTTTTTTCAAGTATTTGATGTCGAACTTGTCATGTTTGTCCATGACTGGAAGGCAGTGATACCAGTGACTGTGTTAAAAACCGGGGGATGAAACTATGGTGCCAAAGCTCAGACATGAAGATAGAGGTACCTCTAAATCAATTGGTTAATTAAAGGACATTGCCATTTAGAGTAGATGGGATAGTTAGGGTCCGAAGTGTCCGACACACCCATTTTTCACCTGTCACTTAGCCAAGCAATGACTCATCACTAGCGACAGATCATATCCCCTGGCTCATTGGGATGGATGATACTTTGTCAATTCCTCTCGTCCAGTTCCACTCAAGAAAGGGAAGAAAAACGCAACACTGTGCAACTTAGAGCCCAAACAAGAGATGTGGATCAACGTTTTAACAGTTTAGGGCCCAGGGAACCAAGATACTTTCAGATACCTGGAACCCTCGCCTGTGCCTAATCGCGGGGTCTTGGTTCCGGAATCTCAAGCCCTTTTGGGTCCAACATTTCAGGTATTGATATTTATTGATAGCATCACTTAGGTTCTGAATCATAGTGAGACCTCCATTAGTAACCCCATCAATCACATGAACTTGAACCCCCAATAAGGATCTAATGTGAAACCCCATGAGTAAGTTTGAAAATCAAACCCTCGACACATTTTGCAAGCTTCGTGGCTGCTTCATTTCTCCAGGCCCCAGATTCGTGCGGCGATTGAGACCATTTTCGGTGTGAAGGCTGTGAGCTGGTCCCAACATATTGGAGTTGAAGAAAAATGAACGATTGCAAAATTGAAAGCAACATGTTTCAATCATTTTCCTATTAGCCGAGGACGATCAAGTTTGTATTCCAGATATGTTCCAATTCAACGCAACATATAACTGTGAAGCTAGACAATCAACAATTTATTCACGCATGCTTGAGGAAAATTGCCCAACGAGTCTACGAAAGGATGTAGCCCACGAGAATTGCAAATAGCAACGGGATACATGTAATTCGCCCTCCAGCGAAAAGGAACTTGGATCTAAAAAAGAGTACATTGCTTTGGAGGGGGGACTTCCTGAAGTTCAAATCGACCTGATGTACGGCAAAAATTGCCTTCGGTCATCAAGTATGTCTAGCTGGGAAATCTTCGCACTATAGAGGTTGAAATGGGAAATGCATCTCGAAATGGTGAATTTCCATGGATTTTCCAGCCATGCTTGATGATCAGCGGGAACGACTTGGCTCACTGTCCATGTTCCACTTGGCTATCCGCCTGTGGGGGACTCCCAAGACCTGTTGGGTGAATCTGCAACTCTTGGAAAACCCCAATTATTGTAATTCAACCATTGCAAAATGCATGCTGATTGGTGGATATTGGTGGTTTGGAACATTTGTTATTTTCTTTTCCAGAATAGATGGGATGTCATCCTTCCCATTGACGAACTCATATTTTTCAAGATGGTTAAAACTACCAACCAGTCATGTTTCTAACTGTTTCCCTGGAGGCTACATGCTTCGTGACTCTAGCGGCCATGATTTCACGTATAGCCCAGTTGCTGATGTTTGATTTTCCCCATGGAAAGTCAACCATTTGGGGGATCTGTAGCAGCCATAGCATGTTTTAATTTTTTAAGGGACCCTGGAGCAGATCCAAGTATTCCTTGTTGTTGGGGGATTATTATCCATCAGTTGAGAACCTGTTCATCTGAACCAACCAGATGTTTTTTTTCATGAAAGAGTATTGGGAAGCCCGTTCTACAGTAGCATTATAACATTGTGGTGATGGTTAGCAAATATTCTTTCATTGAACAATCATCTATTGTCCAATTCCTATGGCGAAGCTGATTGTGGTGATGATTTTCCCAATAGTGTCCAAGCATTTTTACCAATATTTCCCAATTTTACGAGATTGTCGCAATCATTGAGCCATCATTTTCCCAAAACCCTTTGGTCAACTGAAAGTTTGCTGATAAAGCAATCGCCATTTAGTTCGTTGATTTACCGAACTTACAAATGGCGATGTTCCATAGTTATGTTAGTTTACCCTATGGGATTTTCTTAATCTATCAAATTTCCAGGGCATATCAATATGAATGGAATATGAATATTCATGGGAATATGCATGAAATATTGGATAACCCATGGATAACCCATGGATAAGCCATGGTTCCAATCCCTTTTTTTTTCCCCGATGGATCCTCTGAATCCAACGAAGATTCCGCGCCTTCAATGGCCAGGTCCTGAAGTGCAACACCCTCATCCCCACCTCCAGCTACACCGTGGCGTCTCATGGCATTTTCACCAACGGTGCTGTCAGCGGTTGAGCGGGGATGGTTGGAGCGTGGCCGTGGGTGAAACGTAAGGTGAAACGAAATATGCGGCTTTGGGATATTGTTTTTTTTTTTCGATTTGTTTTGGGGATGTTGGTAAGTTGCAACATGTTACCCCACCATTAGTTTTTGTACCGGGTTGGGGTATGGGGCTAGGGTACTTCTCTCTTACCCTGGATTGTTGATGATTGTTGAGGGTCTAGAATCGTCTAGGCATGAACATATACGGACAAATCCAGTGATATGGGTCATGGGTTATCAACTACCCTCTGCTAATTTAACGTAGCTATTGAAAATGACCATTTATAGTGGATTTAAAATGGTGATTTTTGAATATGTTTGATAGTTATGTTAGTTTACCAGAGGGTAATACAACAAATCAATACTCATTATTGAAATATTAACTAATGATGGATTAATGGATCATCAGTTGATCACAATCATTGTTACTGGATTGATCATGATCGAACACATCGTTAAAATACCGGATCAATCTGGATGATATCATAAAAATCATGGATTGGATATCAATTAATATGACACATGAACTGGACATCATGGATTGATCATTAAAAAACTGGATGGATCAACGGTCATCAATGATGGCGTCAGATCCAGCGGATCGATTTTTGCGCGCTTTGGATATGGCCAAGTCTTCCAGGCAGAGATGGTTTCTCCGGTGAAGCAACATGTTACAATGGAAAATCACCAGTTTTCATGGGAAAATCCACTATTTCTATGGCCATTTTCAATAGCCATGTTAGTTTACCAGAGGGTATGGTTTCTCCATGAGAAACACTCATTATTCTTACTGGTGCGTATAAAACGCAGGGAATTTTCGGGAATGATCGACAACAACTATAGCAATAATCATCCCAGCAACGCCCATTCCCATCCATTCCCCACTAAGCACCAGTAAGTTATTAAATGATACATATTGTGAATATATTAATGTTTGAATTGATTATTGAAATGATTGGTATACCATTTGTGATGAAATGCAGGGGGTAAATATCATTAAACAATCATTAAAAAATCATTAAATATCACCATAAATTTAATGTTAGTATTGGATGAATATGTTTGACCATACAATTCAAAAGGTTTAAATCCATATTCTGCTAAAGCCAATAAATAATGAACCATACCTCCAATATCACCAGAAATAGTTTTTGTTTATTGCTGCGAGGGTGCATCCGCTGGTAAGCTGAAGCGGATTCAGGGATAACCCAGTCTTTGGAGCTGCAGGCATACATCCTTATACATATATATGTAATTATACGCGCAACGCCTGGGTTCTGCCCAGGCGTTGCAGCGTATATATCTACAATTCACAAACAAATGATATTGCAAATTACAGCAATTCCTATGGGAAAAATAACAAAGGTATTAGGGACTATTGAACAAACAACGTCAAAACACCCGAAATTCCTATGGGAAAAACAAAAACAGCATAATATTTGAAATTTCTATGAGAAAAACAGAAAAGGTACTAGGAGATTTTAAACTCTCAAATCGTGAAACTTAACATTCAATTAGGAAGATCAACAAAGATATTAGGGAATGTTAAACTCCCACCCCCATTAAACCTTAAATTCCTATGGGAAAAACAGCAAAGGTACTAGGGACTATTTAAAAAAAAGGGTCAAAACACCCGAAATTCCTATGGAAAAAACAAAAACGGTATTAGGGAATATTAAACTCCAACCCCCGTTAAACTTTACATTCAATTGGGAAGATCAACAAAGATATTAGGGAATATTGAAACTCCCACCGCCGTTAAACTTCTACATTCACTGAAGATCTTCAATAAGGGTTTAATTGTCCCACCCCCGTTGAACTTCTACATTCATTAAAGATCTTCAATAAGGGTTTAATTCTCCCACCCCCATTAAACTTCTACATTCATTGAAGATCTTCAATAAGGGTTTAATTCTCCCACCCCCGTTAAACTTCTACATTCACTGAAGATCTTCAATAAGGGTTTAATAATCCCACCCCCGTTAAACTTCTACATTCACTGAAGATCTTCAATAAGGGTTTAATTCTCCCACCCCCGTTAAACTTCTACATTCATTGAAGAACTTCAATAAGGGTTTAATTCTCCCACCCCCGTTAAACTTCTACATTCATTGAAGATCTTCAATAAGGGTTTAATTCTCCCACCCCCGTTAAACTTCGACATTCATTGAAGATCTTCAATAAGGGTTTAATTCTCCCACCCCCGTTAAACTTCTACATTCATTGAAGATCTTCAATAAGGGTTTAATTCTCCCACCCCCGTTAAACTTCTACATTCACTGAAGATCTTCAATAAGGGTTTAATTCTCCCACCCCCGTTAAACTTCTACATTCATTGAAGATCTTCAATAAGGGTTTAATTCTCCCACCCCCGTTAAACTTCTACATTCATTGAAGATCTTCAATAAGGGTTTAATTCTCCCACCCCCGTTAAACTTCTACATTCATTGAAGATCTTCAATAAGGGTTTAATTCTCCCACCCCCGTTAAACTTCTACATTCATTGAAGATCTTCAATAAGGGTTTAATTCTCCCACCCCCGTTAAACTTCTACATTCATTGAAGATCTTCAATAAGGGTTTAATTCTCCCACCCCCGTTAAACTTCTACATTCATTGAAGATCTTCAATAAGGGTTTAATTCTCCCACCCCCGTTAAACTTCTACATTCACTGAAGATCTTCAATAAGGGTTTAATTCTCCCACCCCCGTTAAACTTCTACATTCATTGAAGAACTTCAATAAGGGTTTAATTCTCCCACCCCCCTTAAACTTCTACATTCATTGAAGATCTCCAATAAGGGTTTAATTCTCCCACCCCGTTAAACTTCTACATGCATTGAAGATCTCCAATAAGGGTTTGATTGATGATGATGATGATGATGATGATGATGATGCGTCGCCCGTCGTCGTTGCGGGTCCGGGCAGAACCCAGGCATTTGCCGTAATTATATATATGTATATGTATATATATATGTTCATATATATATATATATATGTTCATATATGTTCAAATGTATTCAAATGTATTCAAATTTATTCACACGTTAGGTACTTCATACTTCAGCACATGAAATAACTAACGAGCCATAAGAAAACAGTATAGAATATAGATGGATCTTGGTCGAGTCCGGTGTTTACCCCTGTTGTCCGACTAGCATTGTGGTGGTTGCATATTCTATTTTTGCAATAGTAATTTTACTTCACCTGAGCTGTAATGGATATTAAATGTGCTTAGACAATCCCACCCCCACAATCATGAACCCGTTTCATGGGCCCAGAAAAATGAGATCCAAAACTCAGCCAGTGCTCGGGAGAGGGTCTACCCGACTGGAACCTAGGTTTGGTCAGAAGATTGGGAGAAAATCACTCTACAAGAAGGCCTATGTGCAGTTGAAGGAGCTGTGCTCGGGATGGGGTTCTTTGAAAATCATGCCCATTACATATATTATACGCATATCAATACATTACATTGTGTTTTTTCTAGGCACAAAAATGATGATCAACCATCATATTTGAGAGTAGCCTAGCTCTGGACAAAGCGTAAAATGAATGTTGCAAGCTGCTGTAGCTGATCCACTGATCATTCCGACCATCCCATCACCCCCAACTTCTTCATCCTCTCCCGGAAAATGGTTGGAAGATGTTGGAAGATCTACGGGAAAACTGTGGTTCAACATGGTTCAACCATCCCCAAAGTTGCCAGAAATTGGTTATCAGATTGGTAATCTCTACTTGAAAGTTCAGCGTTGAGTTTATAACACAATCAACTACTGTGAAAGAACACCAAAACCCCAATCTTCTTAGATATAAAGATTTGTTTTTTTTTGCGTTTCAATATGTTTCAATCAGATCATACTTTTTCCTGACCCCCCTTGTTCCAACATTTGCCATATCTGTCCATTCAATTCAAGCCATGCTTCATCGCAGGAAGGAGATTCCATTGATCTCTTCCCCGATGACCCGGAAGCCATCTAGCGAATAGCGTCAGCCGGAGGGCCCTTTGGATGGCTATAGATGCCAGTGACGTGATTAGTTTTATAACTATAATATTACTATGATATGTGCATATATAATATATAATATACAATATATAGTATATAATATATAATATATAATATAATAAAATATAATAGAATAGAATAGACTAGAATATAATAGAATATAATAGAATAGAATATAAAATAATTATAATTTAATATAATATCTAATATATATATATATACTTCATAATATAATATATATATATAATTCATAATATATGATATATAATATATAAAATATATACATATATTATGTATATCACTTGAAAATAAGCAGAGGTTTTGCAAGCAACTTGTGTCCTGTTATTTCATCTTAAACATGATATCACCACAGAAATTGCCATCCTTTTGCCCTCCGCTCTGGCTGCAAGTTTCTCAGAAGCCGTGCCACTGGAAGAAAAAAAGCGGAAGGGCTGCGCCGCTGCAGAGGGTGGATGCTCTGATTCCAGTCCTGCCATCCACACAGGGAAGGTATAGGTTAAATGGTTAATTTATGCATTTCTGGTCGGGGGTTTTGGAGTCTTGTCTTGATTCGGTTCGTACGTACGCGCGTGTCGACCGTCGTGAACCCCGAGAGCGATAAACTTCTGCTTGAACTGAAACAACTGCTGCAAGCATGAAGAAGAGGTCCTTAGGTCATCATCTTAGGCCCCCGGAACGGCAATTGCGCAACATTAGTAGCTTCGCTAGCTTGATCCCTTCTCAGAGCAGAAACAAATCCAGTGGAAAGCAAGACCTTGGCGACTCCTCTGCGACGATGGCGACGACTGGCAGCTTTGGCAAACTGGATCCAACTGGTTCAACAAACATCCAATGTGCGAAGCGAAAAAATGGATGGAAAATCGGAGGTCCCACTAACAGTGTGGCAGATTACTCTTTCTATGGTTTTAGGATGTTTTAGGTTAGGTGTTTTCTATAGTGTAAGCCTATCTGGTTAGCTGGAAAGCTGGAAATTGATATCTGCTTGATATGTTTCAGCTTTCGATCTCCCAGTTTATGAGCCTCCATCTTGGGAGATATACATGAGATATCATTGGACCCACAACCAACAGGGGAAAACTGGATTTCTCCACCTTGATGGGCTATACCTTCAAACTATGGCCCTTTTTGAATGGGGTACATGATGAGAAACCATCAAAATTGACCCTGTAGAATACAGTTTTGTACCGTTTCGTGGCGCCGCGAGATCGAAGTTAAGTTGAAGGGTTTTGACCAGGAGATTGCATGCAAACAAACAAAACAGACACGAGCGATCCCCGTAACTTTAGCGGAAAACAATGCACCTCCGTCCACGGCGTTGGAAACGAGACGAGTGCCAATTTGCTTTGTGTTGGCATTCAGGGATCTCCCAAGCGTTGACACATCAAACTCGAGATACACAAGATGTTTCGATAGTTGGCGAGCGCAGGCAATATCGCAATCCAGCATCTTTTAGATCAAGTACGTTTGAGCAGAACCATGTCTTTGCGTTTCGGTTTCGCAGATGTTGCATGTTTAGTTGGAACACGGACAACATTTGCGCTCCGTTAACGATTGCCCTGCAGAAGCATGAAGTTTTTCTCAACACATTTCCCTCCGTCAAAACATGAGAAAGATATATAATATGCGAACATGTGCGTGCATAAAAACATGTTTTTCTTCAGAAACCGAGGTGACATTCAATGTGCTTCATTTTGATTATGTACATTGTTCAACCTCGTGTATAAACGCCAATTTTGGTGTTTCTGTATCCGTCTCGAGAAAGTCTTCCGTTCTCCGCAGGTGACTCATGGATTTGTAGCTGCGCAAGATCATTATTCATACGAAGCGTGTTTGAACATATTTTTTTCAAAACGGCATGACCGACGAAACATGCCAAGACAACACATAATCACTAATAGTGTAGCTAGCCCACCCTGCAACGTTGTAGTATGGAGTTTGTAGGCCTTGGTTTCTCAGTTTTCAGTGGCTCGTTGTTTGGGTGCAAGATCACGTGATCCAACATTTAGTAACTACGTTGGACATTGCAGTAGCCACCTGTATGTTTTGGATATTTTTGGATTATGGTGGGGCCTTGTCACTCAAAAACTGGCAATCACATTGAATTTTGCTGCACACTGCTAGTTATATAGGGTTCTAGTATGTTCTAGTAAAATGATGTAAGAATTGTAAAAACAAAATTGGCTTCAAAAAAAATTGGCTTTTACAATTCTTGCAAAGGGGTAATTGAAGCATTGAATTTTTGTAAAAGTAGGGTTCTTGCAAAATTGGCTTCAAAAAAAAAGCTGCCTGCACATTCCAAAGGCACCAACCATATGCAGGGGATCCCACTGCGGCGCCTGCAGCCTTTGGACGCAACTTCTTTGGAGTTTGTTCATGTTCTTATGATGTGGGTAAAACAACAATAGCCATCCCCCAATCATCACCATTTTTTAATAGGTGGTATACATAATTAAAATTAAATGAAGAATTCCCCCAATTGGTTGGATTATTGTTGTTTTACCCACATTACTTTTGGTGTTTGCAATTTGAAAGAAACTTCTGAAAAGTAAGTAAGTGATACTAAGTGACTATTGGCCCTGGGGTTCTGATTTTGAAGCAAACTTTTCGCAACATGATGTTTGATATTAATTTTGTATCGGCCAAATTTCCGGACTGCACATGATCATATAACCACGTCACTGCGGCGTCACTAGTGTTTTGGTTGGTAAGGGAACTGAACTATGTCAAAATGATGATAATATGCAATGATTGAGATATATTGATATATATTTAGGTCATGTAGCAAAGATAGGTTTCAACAAACATGGCTATGGAACGCAAGATTCACAAGCAGGACGCCTCCCTTCACTGAACCATCACGGCGCTGATAAGAAAAAAACGTGTCCTATAAATTCGATAGCGCCCTCAATCGCAAGACTACCCGTGAAATCGTGTGACAAAAAATGTAAAACCCATGCCGCGCATGTCTCTGTAAAACCAAAAGATCACATCTACACTCCATGACGCCGGCATGGTTCAGCAAACATTTCGACAGAAAAAAACAACATCCAGACAATTCCTTGTGACCTTGTTTGTGTTTTCTTCTAAGTGGCCTTTAGAAAGAGGTCAGTTAAGGAAAACGTAGAAAGAGGTCAGTTTATTAAGGAAACAAACCAAACAGTGGCCTACCAGTGACACGCAAGTGACACGCAGGTGACACGCAGAAATCATGTGATCAGCCAGGCAAAGAGGTCACTTAAGGATTCATGAAACGAGGTCACTTATGCATTGATTTTTTAGATGACCGTTTGGCACTTTGGGTCTAAGTGGTTTCCATTAGAGGCCACAGGTAACTGCCTCGATTGGAAGGATTGCTACCACATTGTTTTCACTGAACCCAAGGCCTCGCAAACTTCAATCACGGAAGCAACACACCTGTGATATGTTGGATTCAAATCACGCACGCTTAGATGTCCTAGAGATGCGAAGGTTTCGTAGTTTTCTAGCTGTGTGGTGGTTGGAAAGGTTTTGCGAGGTCGGGGGTTCGCTTGGAGCGTCGAAAAGTGGATCGCTTAGAGTGCCGGAGGGTGGATCGCTTGGAACGCCGAAAAGTGACATAAGAGATACATAGCGCTAGAGTTGCATATGCACACAGGGAATCACAGAGGCATATAGGCATATAAATGGATGCATTCATTTGTTGCTGAAGCACGCAGGTAGTCACATGGGCAGATGCACGCAGATATAGCGATCCGCTTTTTGGCGCTGGAGGAGCATCATACAACGTATCAAGAACATCTGGCAAGGAAAATCTGGCAAGTTACTTGAAGAAAAAATTACGACGTTTCGGGAACGTCTTGCAAGTTACTGGACAGAAGATGTTGCAATGTATCAGGAACATTTGGCAAGTTACTTGAAGAAAATATTGCAAAGTGGCAGGAACGTCTTGCATGTTACTTAACAAAAGATGTTACAATGCTTTACAATGTATCAAGAACATCTGGCAGTTTACTCCACGAAAGTATTACAACGTAGCAGGAACGTCGTGCATGTTACTTGAAAAGGTTGTTCCAATGTATCAAGTACGTCTGGCAAGTTACTTGAAGAAATTGTTACCACGTACCAGGAACGTCTTGCATTTTTTATGAAGAAAATGTTACAACGTATCAGGAACGTCTTGCAAGTTACTTGCCGACGAGGTTACAACGTAACAGGAACCTCTTGCAAGTTACTTGAAGAACATCTTACACAAAGAAAATGTTACAATGTATCAGGAACGTCTTGCAAGTTACTTGAATAAGATGTTACAAGGTATCACAAGTTATTTCACGAATATGTTACTACGTATCAGACACGTCTTGCAAGTTACTTGCAATCCAAGGCCAACCTGCGCTGAACAGGTGTACAACAAGGATGCCGCGCAGATGAGAAGTGAAAATGAGAGACAGCTGGCGTGAGCACCTTTATGAAGCGACATGCATATCCTTGAGACGTATATGACAATACATGACATTCATATACCAGCACGTTCAAAGGGGCGCCTAATGAATTTCAAGCCTTGGGATTCTTAAGGGGTGCCTGATGGACACCCCTTAGCGTTCATGGAGATGGCACACGTGTCGGATGCAAAGTGTTCCCAAATTTGAGGAAAACTGGTTAAAACCGACACGAAATGATACGCGCGGGGGTTGTTCAAAAAGCACCCGACACGTTTCAAAGGGGTGCTTATTAGACACCCGTTTGCCAAAGGGGTGCTTATTAGACACCCGTTTGCCTAAGGGGTGCTTATTGGACACCCGCTACCGACCGACACGACACGGCAATGACACGCATGTTTGTCTTGATTTCTCAAAAAAGAAGCGTGACCCCCTATGACCGACACGACACGGTAATGACACGAAATGACACGCACTTCTGGAAACAAACGTGGGGAAATCGAAAAAAAAATGCACATATTGCCATGAATACCGCATTATCCGTTAGTTTGGAACCTTAAAAATTAAGGGGTTCATCATACTTACCCCCTT